ACAGGCGGTCTCAGCAACCTGTAGGCCACGGAGAACATCACCCTTGGCATCGGCAAAAGTCTTGCCCTGTTCGAGAGTGATAGACGCAGCGAGACGGTCCCAGTTGGAACGAATCAGACTGACGAACTTGAACATGATCTGCTGCCTGGCAATCACGCTCATTGCCCGCCATGCTGGGAATGCCTTCTCGGCGGACTCAACTGCCGCCCGCAATTCCTCATCTGTACTCTGGGGGACTCTAGTGACGAGATTGTTGGTTGCGGGGTCATGGAGGTCAATCCAAGTCGTAGCCTTAGAGGCAACAAATTCGTTGTCCAGAAAGTTGGCCGTATCAATTGGGTTAGCAATCTGCTTGTGGTCCGTCGGGTACTCGGTAGCGGTAGTAGCCGCGGAAGTAGTTGCGGGGGTCATTTGGCGGGCGGTGGCGTGCAGTCTGCGCGCAGCAACGTTGGAAGCGGGAGAGGAAGAAGTTACAGAAGAAGCTCGGCGAGCAAGAGCTGAAGAAGAAGACATCGAGGCAGTCATTAGAGAACGTGATGTTGCTGACCTGGCAGACGATGCGTTGGCAAGACTCGTGCGGGGAGACGCAGCGCGGAGTGTGGGGAGAGAACGGGCAAGAGACCGGCGGGCGGCCATAGTGACAAAGAGATCAAAAGAGGATATACAGGTAGAGAAGAAAGAAAAGGAGGAGCAATTAATGAGAAAGATGATGCATGAAAGAATAAACTACTGAGGTGGGGGGGGGAAGAGGTGATAAATAGTACTCAGCTAGCAAGGAGGAGAGGAATGATACTAGTATACCCCGACTGTCCGATACGGGTGCCGCTGCTTTTGTGAGGGCTGCACGTGAGCGCTCCCAAAGCACTTCAGGTCACGCACCGAGCACGCACCAACTGCCCCGGATTACTCGCCGAGCACCTCAGCTTCCTGCAATATGACAGTCCATGTAACAGATAAGAACGCCATCATCATTTCGAGGAGGGTATTGAGATTAAGATGGAGTACTTCAGCAATCTACCTATACTAAGGCCAACTGGGCTTCGTGTTAAGAATTGTTTGGGAGAGAACATGTATGCATACTGAACAGTTTAGTACGTAGTAGTATATTCCCGTGTTCAAAATGACTTTCATTTGGCTATCGCAATGGTGAATAAGCTTAGTTGTTCTGAGAATGATCAGGGCACGCACTTTCTAACTCCAACCACGGTACGACCTGCTCAAAAAGCACAAAGCGGCGGTGCTTTCGACCGAATCTAGAATCAGAAAGTCAAGAAGTTTCCACAGAAATGCTGTTCGGTACTAAGTTCTCCGTATTGGAAAATCGATCCCAAATGATTTCCCGATACGATCGCCGAGGGCAACCGATAACGCTGCTCGGCGCTGTAGGCCAATCATTACCTCCAATCAGGAGCTACTTGCCGAATTCAATGCAACCAGACAAAGGAAGTTTAATCGTAGTAGTATGGATTTCCCCGCGGAATATGCTTCTATAGTGGCTTGGTTGCCGGAGACCATTCGACACCGTCTGCTGGTTTCCAGATTCAGAATTAAACCTCTCAATCTATCATTTCAATTTTGGAAATCGCCACAAGATGAGAAGAAGAAGTGGATGGAGAGAATAAAACGTAAACTGATCTTATAACCCGTATGAATGTTCAGTACTCATTCTTCAACATATGCAGATACCTTGCGGAAAGCGCCTATTGACCCATCAGCATCGCTGTATGTATTATCAATCAGGTATCTCTTTACCTAGCTCACAAGCCCAATTGTTAGCCAAGTTATTTAAGTTGTCTAGTGATGAAGAAGTTAATCTATATTAGGCCTAACATCATGGAGCCATTATTGTTATTTTCCGTTTTTAATTCGGACTATCTTCTTCTTTCCAATGGCCAGTCGTGTGTATAGGGTTCCATATGGAGTATACATATTTTAGCATAGGGCAGCTAGGGACGTTGTTGGACACAGGATGTACCATGGGCGGGGTAGAAGAACAAAGAATCAAGGATTGACCCTCAGCTTCAAATTGTTATACTGCTACAAAGGAAACGGTACGAAGTCTTAGCTTGATTGTTCAAGGGCACTTGTATACGATGAGGCGAAAAGGCCTATGAATTCCTAATTCGAAAGGCAAAAAATACGGCGAATATTTTGGGGATAGCCGTAACGATTTTCAAGCTAAAGAACAAGGCTACTTTACAAGCTCCCGCAGAAACAGTTCCCTATCTGTATGCTCTCATATCTCATCAAAAGTGGTATGATTCCCTCAACGTTTACCACAGGAGACCGCTAGTTGAACGTGCAATACACGTCGGGTATGATATCAAAATTGAAAATGTCTGGGTTTCACTTTATTTGCTTCTTCCTACACTCGTCCTCACTCTCTCTCGGGTATCATAGCACAATTTTACTGAGCAGAAGAACGGGTGGTACGCTTGCTAGCGCCGCCCTTGCCCGTGTCCGCAGAGCTGCTGACAGCCTCGCTGGCCTTCTCCTTGGCAGCGCCTGCAGCCTCCTTGCCCTTCTTAACAGGGGCAGGGGCGGGGGTGCTGGCCTTGATGGCGCCCACGATGATGAGGACCATCGAGAGAACCAGGGCTCCCAAAGTACCAGCGACCTCAGGAGCTTGCTTAACGGCATTCACAGGGTCCTGCTTGGCAAGTCCAACAAAGTGGTCAACCTTCTCACGGACGAAAGTGACGGGGTCTTCCTTGAAGCTAACACTGGTGGCAGGGGCAGTCTCCTCCTTCTTGGGCTTGGAGGCCTCCTCCTCGGCAACCTCGACGGGGTGCTTTACATCAAAGGTCTCCTTGCGGAGCTGCTCAGCATCCTCGGTGGAGTGGCCAATGTAGATGTTGTCGAACAGGATGTCGTTCTGCATAGTCCAGATTTCAAAGCCAATCTAGGAAACATTAGCTATACGAGACCCAAATAACCATAGAAGAGATGTACTCACAGCGCCCATAGGCTCGAAGTTGGAGGGGGTCTTATCTTCGAAGTAAGCCGGGTTGGCGATCTTGCGGGGAGCCCAGGGGCCCTTGTAGGCGGGGTTGTCGATCATAGGAGCAGTCCACTTGCCCTTGTAGGCAGGGTTCTTCTTCATCGGAGGGCTCCAGGGGCCACATCCAGAGATGTCATTGCACTTAGGGTTGGGAACAGTGGGGGGAATCCAATCGCCATCCTCCTCATCGTCCCAGTCCTCAGGCTTCTCGGCCTCGGGGTCAGGAATGCTGGTGGCTTCCTCCTCAAGCCAGTCCTCGGGCTTAGTGGCTTCCTCGTCAACAATCTCGTAGGGAGCTTCCTCATCCCAGTCCTCAGGCTTGGTGGCCTCAGGGTCAGGAATCTTCACATCGTCAACCCAATCGGCGGGCTTCTTATCCTTGGGGTCATCGATCTCCTTCTCGGGGTTGACAGAAGGGTTGAAGTCCTCAAGCAAGGTGCCGTTCTTAACAGCCTCACCATCAATGAGGATCTGGAAAGACTGGTCGGGACGAACAATCAAGGTGTACAAGGAAGTGACCTTGTTGGTGCGAGCAGCAGGAGGAGCCTTGAGGTGCTTCTCCTCGTACTCGCCAGTCTTGGGGTTCTTGTGGCGGAAGATAAAATGGACCTGATGGTATATGAGTCGCAACTCAGAGACGTGGCGTTGAAGTATCTCCTATAACGTACCTTGTTGGTAGCACCGCACTTGTCGGGACCGAACATGATCACATAGGGGGTGGCGTTAGAGAACTCCTCGGCGTGGAGCTTCTTGTTCTCCTGAAGGAGCTTGAGGTAGGCACCACCGCAAACGAGGGAGTCTACCACGATGTAGATTAGACACTGAATGTTTAAAAAGCTGTGTGGAGACAAAGCTTACTCTGGGGCTTGACCTCATACTGGACAACCAAGGTCTTGCCCTTGTTATCAATCTTCTTGGGGAATTTCGCCGAGATGGCATGGTGGGCAGCAGGGTTCTTCACGACGAGACCCTTGTCTCCGTCGATGCCCTTAAAGACCGTGGGTTCCTCAACGGACCATTCACCGACGTAGGCCCAGTCCTCTTCCGTTTGGGAGTCATCCTTCTTCGCATGGGATGGTGTCCACCGAGATTCCCAGTCATCGGTGAATTGCTCGAGAAAGGGAGCTTTGAGGGTGGTAGGCTAGGCGCTGTCAACAAACCGCGCAGGGACGGGGCGCACTAACACCGGGGGATAACTTACGGTGAAAGTCGGCTTCTCGACGACAGAGGTAGCTTCGGGGTTCTTCTCAGCCTCCTCAGCATGAGCATAGCCCATGAGAGTGGCCGAAGAAACCAAAGCGGAGGCAACAGCTGCGTTGAAACGCATGATGAATTAGAACGGGCGCTCAAACTAAGAATCCCGACTCGGTAGTAGCTTTTGGAAAGAAAGAAACAAATAAGTAAACGTTTAAACAATTGGTCCTCCGTAGAGGTTGGAGGGGGTAAAGAGTGTCAAGATGAGAGCGTACCACAAACTAACCGCACGACGGAAGGAAGAAGAGAGAGAAGAGGAGAAAGAGAAGACCAGTGTCGGGGAGGTTGATTATATGAAGCTGGGAAGGTAGCTTAAGTTCAATCTGGCCTCTTCCGCTGCCGCTTGCCCCTTGGGGTAAAGTTCCACCAGCCCAAAGAGGGTTAGTGACAGATTCTCCAATGTTCTGTCCAGTGTCCATTGATTCTAAGAACCGTTTCATTGCTTTTTTGTCATTCTTTTCCTGGTAGTCACGGTCTTAGCGTCTCTGTATGTCATTGGTAGAACTCCATAACCATTTATTCCATCCTTTTATAACCTTCCCAAAAACATATTGGTCTTCATCTCAAATAAGAGAATTCAATCCACTCAATGTAAATACCAAATAGATATAAATATATTCTCTCTCCTCTTTTTTTTTTTTTTTTTTTTTTTTTTTTTTTTTTTTTTTTTTTTTTTTTTTTTTTTTTTTTTTTGTTTTGTTTTCTTTATTTTTGGAATAATCAAATATCACGTATACTAACTATCCTTGTAAATGCCGATTGCGCGATCTCCTTCCCGCTACTAGTTCATCTATCCATATCCAGAAAAAAAAAATGGAGTTCTTCAAGCTGCCCCTCTCCCCGCCGACATTCTTTTCCCCTCCTCACTTGTTTTGCAAAACTTCAGACCACATTGTTCTGAGTGTCAACTCCAATTTTCTTACCTCTTCAATCCGAGTCAAGGGCCCGTTGTTCATATATCCTTCTTTGTCTATCTTTGACATCTCCAATCTGTCCATCCCGTCCTTTGAAACCCCACTTGACCAGTCAGCACGTCATGGCCCAACAGGTCGAGAGCAATAACAATGACCATTTGGTCCAATCTACCGACCCAGAGCACCCCTCCAACTTGATCCCTGAACTTTGTCGCAAATTCTATAACTGGGGATGGGTCACTGGCACTGGTGGTGGCGTAAGTGATCGATTTCGTATCGGTGATTGAAATAGCCAAGGTAAACTGACCCAGTGTAGACTTCCATCCGACGCGATGACCACATATTTATTGCGCCGTCCGGTGTGCAGAAGGAATTAATGAAGCCAGAGAACATCTTCGTTCTCCAATTCCCCACTCCCAAATATCCCCCCTCCGAGCGCAAATATATCCGCAAGCCACTCGACCTGAAGCCATCGGCCTGCACTCCTCTGTTCCTGGCGGCCTTTGAGCGTGGTGCTGGCTGCTGCATCCACACTCACTCCCAATGGGCCGTCTTGGTGACGCTTCTAGTGGAGCGTGAGAAGGGCCCTGGAGGCTACTTCGAAATCAGTAACATTGAGCAGATCAAGGGTATCCCTCGCGGCAAGGGCAAGGGCATGTTGGGTTTCTTTGATACTCTGAGAATACCGATTATTGAGAACACCGCCTTCGAGGAGGATCTCACTGGAAGCTTGGAGAAGGCCATGGAGGAGAACCCCGACACCTGCGCTGTTCTTGTGAGAAGACATGGAATGTAAGTGATGATCAGTTCCTCTTTTGGCGGTTGGACGAATCTAACATGTAGTGTAGTTATGTCTGGGGAGATAATGTTGCCAAAGCCAAGACCCAGTGTGAAAGCTTGGATTATCTGTTCCAGCTTGCTGTGGAGATGCACAAACTCGGAATTCCATGGGTTAAGGAATAGCTGAATTTTATATGCGAAGGGCTTGATCTCGGTCATTGAGGACCCTGGGGAAGTCGTGTCCGAGTCGACTAGGTTGAGACGCTATATTTTGAAGATACCACCATTATGATGATGATTTGCTAAGTTGGGTAAAGAAACTATATGCATGGAAAGAGCGTTAGAGGATTTATAAGCCCATACTGGAATATATATTGGAGCTCAGTTTATGCTGCATCTTATCCCTATCGAGGGAGTACTGTACTAGTTAGTAGCCTTTCTGTTGACAAGATTGCATAGGAGGGGATGCATGCATAGTACGGAGTATGTGCATATGGAAAACCACGCTTAAATATATTGCAACCAGTAGGCTCCCGTTAACTACTACATAGTAGTTAGTAGGCTAACTAGTTAACATAGCTGATTACCTAACACAATTGCATCCCCTTTCGAGAGATTGAATCGTACATCCATACCAACTATGAATTCTAAATTAACATGTACGGAGCTAAAAAGGTGGATTCAGGCATTGACAGAGCGGGGGAGAAGGCAGCCTTAATCCGGCAGGTGACGAAGTTGGCCTTTTCCCAGTGACGGCGCGGATCATCTGTCCAACTTAAACTTGCTAGTCGCTTCTCCGACTCCAGCAACATCAACTGCCTTCCTCTCAGGGCATCACCTCGATTTCCCTCGTTCCCCCCCTCCCAACCGACGATTTCTTGTCAATTTACAATTAATATCCACGCCCTTTAATCTTCCCCACCAATTGCTATCCCACCCAATAATACCCTCATGGATCTGGACGCAGGTGACTCCCCGTGGGGCGGTAAGCAGGCAATCACGAACAATACAAGCGCATCATATTCGACATATCTAACCCGAAGTATAGACGTTCCTTCGCAGTCCACCGGCAACCACGGTACGTCAAGACCAGAAACCGAAGATGCCAGTGCGTTCCTTTCAGAACTTAGATCCCTATAGCAGCCCACCTCCTAACCGCATCATCCCGCAGCCCGGGAACAATCGTCACAACAAACCACTTCGACGGGTCCTCGTTCTCCCGTACGGCGCGGCCCGCGAGGTGTGCGCAAGATAAGCGCACATGCGACAAAATTGGAAGCAGTTGACGATACCCTGGATCCGCTAGGCCCGCTCGGGGACAAAGCCGACGAAACTAGTCCTGCAGCGGTCGAGCAAGCACCTGTACCGCCTCAGAAGGAAGCATTTGCTGGGCGCAATGTTCGGCCCACATCATCTGCGTCTCAGACGTCAAGTGGTGCTGGTATGGTCGATTCTGTGAACCTTGAAGAAGACGGTGCGGGTTTTAGGAACCCTCCCCCTGTACAACCACCAAGCGACTCGGACAGCTCAAAGAGACAATCAGAGCCTAGTATTAGTATCGAGAAGGCAGCGAAACCGAATTTTGAGATTACCGTCGGTGACCCACACAAAGTGGGAGATCTAACGAGTAGTCATATTGTTTATCAAGTCCGAACTAAGGTAGACCGTCTGTGCTTACGACTTTGAGCTGCTTTGATATACTGAAACTGGATCCAGACAACTTCCAAGGCCTATCGCCAGCCCGAGTTTGCCGTCAGTCGCCGATACCGTGACTTTCTTTGGCTTTACAATTCAATGCATAACAACAACCCTGGGGTTGTTGTCCCTCCTCCTCCGGAGAAGCAGGCTGTTGGCCGTTTCGATACTAATTTCGTTGAATCCAGAAGGGCCGCACTGGAGCGCATGCTTAACAAAATTGCCGCGCACCCTATCCTTCAGCATGACGGAGACCTGAAAATTTTCCTCGAGAGCGAAACCTTTAATTTAGATATCAAGAACAAGGAGAATAGGGAGCCGGATCTGGGCCAGAGCAAGGGTATGTTTAGCTCCTTCGGTATCAATGTGGGTGGAGGGTCCAAGTTTGTTGAGCATGATGATGTAAGTCCGCCTTCATTAGGTCTTGTGGAGTCGGCAGGTTAACTATCATTTTAGTGGTTCCATGATCGAAAGATTTATTTGGATGCCTTGGAGAATCAACTGAAGGCTCTGATGAAATCCATTGACACTGTAGTTGCACAACGGAAGGGGCTAGCAGAAGCTGCTGGGGACTTTTCAGCGTCCCTCCATGCGCTGGCTGCTGTTGAATTATCTCCCGCCCTGTCATCCCCTCTTGACGGTCTTTCAGACCTACAGTTGCGCATAAAGGAGCTGTATGAGCGCCAGGCCCAGCAGGATGTCCTCACGCTCGGCATCACCATCGACGAATATCTCCGTCTGATTGGAAGTGTTAAGACTGCCTTTTCTCAGCGGCAGAAAGCGTTCCACAGCTGGCATGCAGCCGAGTCGGAAATGCAAAAACGCAAGCATACGCAAGAGAAGCTTCTCCGGCAAGGGAAGACACAGCAGGACCGCCTGAATCAGGTCAATGCCGATGTGGCCGATGCGGAACGCAAGGTCCATCAGGCGAGGCTGCTGTTTGAAGATATGGGAAGGCTGATGCGGAATGAGCTGCAGCGATTTGAAAAGGAAAAAGTGGAGGATTTCAAGTCCGGTGTGGAAACCTTCTTAGAAAGCGCTGTCGAAGCCCAGAAGGAGGTATGTAAACGTAGTCCTAATGAAAAGGCTTCTTTTGTTACTGATACTTGTGCTTTTACAGCTCATCGAGCTCTGGGAAACCTTCTTATTGCAATTGGACGCGGGCGAAGAAGGTAACCCCTTCTATGCTCCTCCGGCTGCAGCGGATGCTCCCGCAGAGTCGACGCCGGAGGGAACTACTGAAGCTGCCTCAAGCGCGGCGACCGAGGAAGAAGCATAAGTGCTCACATGTTACCCCTACGACCTTTTATTGTCCTGTAACAAAGGAAGGCCGCCGTCTCCTTTCTTCCTTACTTGTCATGTTCGTCAGTCAACCGACTGATGTCAGCCCTTCTTACAATGTGATGTGGTGCACGACTTGTTCCTTGAGTTCATGACAGTCTCCTTCAATTTTGCAGTCGAAATTACTGCGTTTACAATGTATCGATACCAGTAACTCGGAATTAATTCGAAATGACTTCCCCCCCCTTGATGACCTCGCCTCGCTTCTTCCATAATCCCTGGGCGATCAATAAACGGTGATCCACACCCATATAAACTTCACAAGTTACTAAAGCTATCGAGAGAAGGTGGAAGAGGCAACCTGGAGGCACGAACTCTCAATGCTGGAATCCCAACCAAATGGTATGATGTACTGTACATGAAAGCTTCAAAAGATGTAGACCATAAACGATGAGTAAATTATACAGAAACACCCCATAGTCCCGACGTAACTCAGTTCTTCTTCTTCCCTGATGGCTGCTCTTCCTGACCAAACGAACTGATTAAGTCCAGCAGGTTGTCCTCTTCCTCTTCAGCAGCGGCTCTTGCCGCAGCCTCGGCCTCTTTATCCGTCTGCTCAGCCTTCTTGTTTGTTTCGGCCTCAGTAGGGGTATTCGCATCCCAGCTCCGTCCGAATTTGGCTCTGAATGCTGCTAGTCGACCGGCCTCGTCTTCCTCGACATTCATCAACTTGCTTGATGACGGGTTCCACAGGAGGGAATTGCGCGTGTCACGGGTGGAACGGTAGACGGGGGCGGGAGACGTCGTACGGTGAGTGAAGGTGCTGCCATCCGACAGGGTGATGAGCTGAGTGAAGGTGTAGGGACGCTTAGGGCGTCGAAGGAGAGTCGCATGGCGGCATTGCGAACAGATGAAAGTGGTGGAGGTCTGAACTCGGGCAGCGGTGACCGCGCTGCGGCGGAGCGGGATGCTGAGTGTCATTGCCAAGTGGAGGAAACAGACGAATTGAATCGAAACGGACCGGGGGGATAGGAAATCAGGTCGAGCTCGAGTCAATCTGGAATGGCTGTTCGGCGGGATCAGTTTATCGGAGGTTCTCAAGAAATTTGGCGGATCGGACGTTGTTACGTAAGCATCAATGGGATGCCTTTTTCTTTTTCGGGGAAATCCTGAGTATTTGTCTCTCTCCAGTTGTCTCGTCGCGCATTTCGCAAGAATGCTCGTCAATTGAAACGTTTTTTAAAGCAATATTCTCTGGAGGTTCATGATGACTCTAGAGGAATTTCATGGTTTTGTTGCCAATTTATCTCCTGTTTTGTTACCTGTTGTGCCTTGAGCCCTTGAGCTTATCCGCTCTTCACCCGGCGGAATGAAGCTTCCATACTCACGGCCGGCGGTTTCTGTCAACCGGATTTTGGGCCAGTTTAAAGGTTGGACTTGAGTGTCCTCTTCATTCGATGACTGCTTGCTAATTGTTCTTTACGGCCCAGGATTCCAATGTGGCTTTACTACTTATCTGCCTCTCCGAACACAACAATGGCATTCTGGCAGAACAATCAGCAGCGCTGAAGCGACGCCGCCAAGTCCACGGCCTCAAGCCAGCAGAGAAAACGACATCCCTGATACCGGGAATCTCACGCTTTCCCTATCAGACCAAGTCCGCCTGCTCATGAGACGAGTGCCCTACCCCGTCGCCATCATCACAGCCACAGACCCCCACGAACCTCTCGACAAAGCCTTCCGCGGAATGACCGTCTCATCATTCAATACCGTGACACTAAACCCGGACCCAGCCATCTCTTTTAACGTGCGACGACCATCCGAGACGCTAAGCGCGCTTCAGTCGTCCAAACGATTCCTTGTCCATCTATTAGCCCCCGGTCAGACGACAGCGACCCTTGCTCGGGATTTCTCCAAAGGCAACCATAACCTGTCCATCGCAAGCGGGAAAGGTGACTTCGAATTCGTACCGCATACCTCTACGTCCGGTGGTGAAGCTCCCGCCAGACCACTCCCTCTACTCCGGAGGAAGAAGGCCGCGGATGCACCGGAGGGGGATGCCCTCTCAGATATTCCTTTTGTGTTTGAATGCCAACTTCATCCGAAGGCGATTGAAGTTAATGACCACACTATTGTGGTTGGGACTGTTGTAAAAGTTGTTTCAGAGCATTTGACGAGTCCAGAGGCGATTGCTAACGCGCACTCCGTCACCGATCTATGTCTAACGTATGCCAATACTCGGTTTTGGGAAATGGGTCACGAGATTTAGACTTGCACCTGGGATTAGCTATGTCTGAGTCTTAGAGCGATACGCTTTCTGCCTGAACGAGATCAAATATATACATATACATATATTTGATTTCAAGATGGACTCAAATTCCATGCTCCGTACATTTGGGGGTTTATATGCTATGACCCGAGATTAGAACCTTCAGGAATGACGCGTGTTTGACTAACTGTGTATATATATATATATATATATATATATTATTTTCCTCCCATCCCAATTCTGTATATTATTCTGATACAACCGAGACCATCACCAATCTCCTCGGGTTTAATATACCTAAAAGTTAAGGCCATTAGCACAATAAAGTGACACTCTATACAGAAGGTCAGCATAATCCATGCGAATGACGTCATATGCATAATAGCTCAAACATACTCCGTACTCCAAAAACAATACAGCAAACCCTACTCCAAAGTATACTTTGGAACCAGCCCGACGCGTGCCTCCTCCCCCCTATTTCATTCAATCGATACCGCCATTTCGGTAGTTGAGCTAGCCTTGGCCCCGTTCCGATATATTCGGCAAATCAATCGAGTCTGCGGGCACCCACCAGGGACGATCTGCGTCTAGCATTCTCACTAAAACTCGGTAGTGAACCATACCCATGGGGCTCATGGAACACACCCATTTGGAAAGAGCTGGGACGAAAAAGATAGTGTTGCGGATGTCGACACCTTTGTCCATGACCGCTGGATGTTAACAGTGGTATAAATATATAATATATGGCAAGATGGACCGCACAAAGAAAGGAAGTCGTGGTGAGGGTACGCGAAAGAATGGGCGGTCGGTCTATGGAGACTTCGTTTCAGCTGGAGATGTAGATCTGATCGCTTGGGCAGATCAGCTGGTGGCTGAAGCTGAAAAGGCCCGGGGCTGAAATTACAAGCGTTGAGCTATGTGAGTGATATATCTACTATACTTGTGTTAGTTTCCTACTCCTTTGCTTTCTTTCCTTTTTTTTTTTTGTTTCTCCATGAGACAGACAGTCGCCTTTCCTGTGCCTTTGCAGTGGCAGACATATTCGGACAGTCTACGTGCCATTCCAGTTTACGCAATGACAGTAGCGAATGAAAAGCCGAGCTATCATGTGCGCTTTCTTTTTCCCACGGGGTTATAGCGTTCTGCTCACTATAGATAGGATGCTGTGGAGAAGCTGAATTCCACACAGACGGGCTATAAGGCCTTGCAGGAACGGAAAGGAATGGGACGGAGGACAGATGCCTCACCTTTAGAGCAGATGCGGCAGTGGGTAAGGCGCGTGGGATACGATGTAAGTACCTCAATTGGTTCCTGTTAGCAAAAGACTTATTCCACTGCCGCAACAGACCAGTGATTTCGACCGCTTGAACGTCGTCCATGTCGCCGGCACCAAAGGCAAAGGTAGCACATGTGCCTTTGTAAATTCCATCCTCCAGTCTTACAATAGATCGATTGGGGTACCGCGTAAAGTTGGGCTTTATACCTCGCCTCATCTTATAACGGTTCGTGAGCGAATCCAAATCAACTCGCAGCCAATCTCAGAGGAGAAGTTCACGAAGTATTTCTTCGAGGTTTGGAATGCTTTAGAATCCTCGGCCCTCCGAGAGGGCCTTGATCCTGCACTCAAACCAAGGTATTTCCGGTTTCTGACCCTAATGTCATTTCATGTCTTCATGAGCGAAGGAGTCGATGTTGCGATCTATGAGGTTGGTGTTGGAGGTGAAGATGATTCAACGAATGTCATCGTGCAGCCTGCTGTTACTGGAATCACTACTCTTGGCATCGACCATGTGAAGCGTCTCGGCAATACCGTTGACAAGATAGCGTGGCATAAAGCTGGGATATTCAAGAATCAGTGTCCTGCTTTCACGGTTGAGCAGGTCCTCGACGCCATGGAAGTTCTCAAAGAAAGAGCGGGCGAGAAAGGGGCTCAGCTTGCTACAGTTACGATTGCTCCAGTGCTTCGAGATGTGGACATCAAGCCAGCTGAGGATTTCCAGAGAAAGAACGCTTCTTTGGCCATCGCGCTCGCTTACACTGTCCTAGAAAAGCTTGGAGTCTCCTTCAATAAGGAACAGGGAGGTATCCCTAAACCATTCGTTGAAGGCCTCGAAACTGTTGTATGGAGAGGGAGGTGCGAGACAATCACAAGAGGCCAACTGCATTGGCATCTCGATGGAGCTCACACAGAAGACAGTCTGAAAGTAGCCTGTTCCTGGTTTGGGCGTGTTTCGAAAGAGAAGTCAGCCGTCTCTGTCTCACTTGGAGAGTATATTCTAATCGTGCTTATCTTCCAGGAACTTGCCTCGCGTGCTTATTTTCAACCAACAGTCAGCAAGGGATGCTATTGCGCTTCTCAAATGCGTTCATCGTACTGTATATGATGACTTCAGGACAAATTTCCAATACGCCTTGTTCTGCACAAATATCACTCACAAAGGCCACTCATATAAAGTTGGTTAGTAGCTAATGATTCGCCATATGATATGTAGCTCAAGACTGACAAAGGATTCCATTGAAAGATCTCGATGACAGGAACACTGATCCAGAGGTACTTCGAAACCTCACATTACAAAACGAACTGGCAGCTACCTGGCATAGCTTGGACCCAAGTACAAAAGCAGTAGCACTTTCTTCAATTGAAGAGGCCGTTGAATATGTGAGGAACATTAGCGGTCATATTGGTGAGACGCGGGCGCTGGTCACTGGAAGCTTCCGTCTTGTTGGTGGCGCTCTGTCTATTCTGGAGGAAGAGGATATTGCGCATGGAAAAGCCACCGCTAATTAGCAAGATGGTGAGCTGAGCTGTATATAGAGGTTTGAAGCAGGAAAGGGTCGCACTAGAAGGGACTCACGTCATCTAAGTGTTGGCTCGCTGATCAAAACCTTGCGGGTGGTGCCAAACGACAGTTTACTATAGAGGCGACTAGTAGACGTCTGGTCTTTCACGGGTTTGCACACAATAATTGCGTGCAGAATCCGGCTTGCGCTAGCTTAGCGACATCAGCGATTGCTGTATACCGCAGAAGGGCATGTAGAGCCTTTCCTTCCATAGAACAATAGAACAGTCTCTGAACCTGATGCAAAGCCCCCGTGACAAGCAATCATAATTACATACTTCCTGCTTAGGGCAGAGAATTCGGTCACAATTGCGCCGAACTACTGTAATGACCTACGCAACACAACGTACGTACGTAATATAGGAGCAGAAATCTACACTGGATACACGATTTTATTGATCACAGGCGAAGTAAAACCAGGATGAAGCCACAGGGCTAGATACATAGAGTATGGCCTGGGAAAACCAAGACGACTTCAGCACCATGTCGGACGATCAACACAAGCAGAAAGGGGACCACAAGGAACTTGGCGTAGCGAGCAGCATATCGACTACACCGGGGATGCTTAACAGCCTAATTGCCTTTTCCAGTTGCAGAGCTGGGGCTACCACTGCCGCTACCACTTCCACCACTTCCACTTCCACTTGCACGGCTACCTGCCCTCGGGAATGGACTAGAGATCGGTCTCAAACCCAAGTTGGGAGTATTGCTCTCGGAACCGGAACTCCTTCTCTTATCGACCAACTTCTCAGACAGATCAAACTGGAAGGGAGGGCGACGGCTCGAATCAAAGAAATCAGAACCATATAGACTGCTGTGGCCCGATCGGTTGGAGAAAGACCGGTCACGGTGAATAAAGTCCGATTCGAAGGGGGAAGCGGTGTTGATGAGAGGCGAGGCTGGGAAGTGCTGCAAGTACGACGGCGCCTGCGTTGGACTAGTCGGGTGGGATGACGTGGGACCAATGGGGGACGAAGCATGCTGCAAAGGGCTGGACTTCAAAGGCGGGAAGCTAAGTCCAAGCAATGATCGGTTGCTGGACGCGCTCGTCGTCAGAGCGCCTAGGGACAGGGTGGGTGCCTCGCTGAGGGGGTTGGTACCAGGTAAATTGCCTTCGGGGGTGAGCGGGGCCGTGTCCAAGAGGATCTGTTGTTGTTGCTGCTGCTGCTGGAGAGCTTGCTCGATAGCCACACACTGTTGCCAAAGTTGGTTGGTACGCAACTGATACTCCTGAACCGACTGGCTAATGCTCGCAAACTGTTCATTGAAATTCACTTCGAGTTTGGCCTGGTCTTGCTCTCTAGCAAACTGTTCCGCAGCGCGACGCTCTCTCTCGTTGAGTCCCTGTGCGTTAGCAGAGACGATACGCTCATACTGCTCATTGACTCTAGTACGGCGACCCTGAAGACGTTCCCGTCTCTGAATCGTAGAGGTCAAATCAGACTCCAGCTGTGACACCTCACGAGCAGCAGCCGATCGAGCAGTAGCCACATCTTCCTTGGCTGAATTAAAGAGCTCAAGTTCATGTTCGTATTTTGCTTTTTCTGCCGACCATTCTTCAAGTTCCTCCTTTGGGATATTCTCCAAATTATCTAACTGAACCTCCAAAACAGCCGTAGCTTCTTCCGTTTGCTTGATGTTCCGTTCCAATTGCAAAGAGCGCTGCTTCTGCCGATTTTCATCCGTGCCACTATGGAGACGATGGTTATAATTGTCCAACTCTTTCCTGATCTTCGAAACGACAAGTTTATGGTCGTTCTTGGCCTTTCTCAACCGTGTGCGCTTCTCATTGAGTTTCAGTTCAGCGTTGACGATGGAATTTTTCAGTGTGGTCGTTGGGGACGATGGTCGATAGGATGGCTGCGGCGGAGTAGAGACCGAGGAAACTACTGAGACAAGTGTTAGACTACTGATGTTTCCCCGGCTGACGGAGGCTGTCTCACCTTGTTCTGCGTCATTTGCGATCGGTGTCTTCACACTCATGACGCATATCTCTTCCTCCGTGTCAGTTCGCAGAAAAGAGCAAGTGTAGGCGCAATTGGGTGCGAGACCAGATATCTCACCACGCCAATGTACTACACTTGAACCTTTGGCTGCATCCTGATCTTTGCAAATCGTGACTGTCGCCCAAAGTGCGCCATTGACGCAAACATAGAAAGGTTCCGTGTCTTCGCCCAACCGTCCAGATTCGCAAGAACCGGAAACCCCAGCATCATCTGAGACGAGGTCGCCCGCCGCAAACTTTATAGAGGAGCTATCAACATCGGTAATCCAAACAAGGCCATCATCCAAAGAAACACCCTGAAGATCCTCCTCGGTCATAGTGAGGCCCCGAGCAGTTTTCGATAAGGCCCTAGAATGTTCGTACTCCCGCATAACCGTCACTTTCGTGCTTGCAAGTGCAGCCCAAAACGGTTGGCGATTTCGAACCTGGTTTGCCTGTCTCCTGCGTTTCTTCGCCGAAATCAATCGATCTCTACCATCCTTGTGCGTTGCTGGCGTAATAAGCTGTCCGTCGGCACCGATATAAGAAGATACACTGGTCCCAGACTCGAACGCAGAATCGATTTGGGTCTGCGAGCCAGCTGACGCCTCTGTATCAACACGTTTTCCAGTTCGAGGAGGAGCCGGTGCCCTATTTTTAGCCATTGAACGCCTAGCCATTGCGGTTCCTGCTTGCGCTAGGATGTGAACCGCAAGTAAACTCCGGATCCAGCTCGGAGAAGATTGTGGTTCAGCGCGCTGGAACTCGGAAGGCATAAGATGAGAATATTGCGACAGCAAATCGGGACTGATAACTTTCGCGGAGAGAAGATGACCTATAACAAAATCCTGTATACCTTTACTTCGAATAAGATGCAAAACAAGCACAATACCAACACAGAGGGTATTTACTCCCCCATTTTTCCCCGACCCTCCTCCACCTAGGGTTATAGCGACCTGAACATGGGCTAAGTCGAGGGCGAAATTTTGCGCCCACGTCCACATGAAAAGACCCCAGAAGAGTAGGAAGAATCCATCCATTGCAATCATCGTACCGAGAGATGGCGTTCCGGCCGGACCCTGAAAGATATCGAAATTGGAAGTCAAAGAGCCGGCAGACGCACCGCCTGGAGGCATGAAGGTCAGGGAAGCGAACAAGAACTGCACCAGCGTAAGGACCATTGGTGGCAACTGAAGGAGGAAAATCAGAATGGCGATAGTGTCGTACATCGGACAGGATTTGAGGATAGTCGATGCCAGTTGGAGCGGGTTAATCGAGGTATTCGAGCCTGACCTCTTGGAACTCTCCGTACGACGCGACGCCTGGCCGGTAAGGCCACCATTCTGCGGAACCGCCCCATTCGCCTGTCCGTAAGACATGTCCGGGTTGCCCTTGGCGTATCCATTCAGATAACCACGTCCGTTGCCATCCGCCTTCGAGCACTCCGTCGTACCGTTGGCCTTTGTTGCCGTCGCTACCGTGGAAGTGATTGCTGTATCGCTATTGGAGCGAGACGAGGGCCAGTCGACTTGAGAGGAGGGTCCAGAACTTGGTGCGGAGCTACCGTTGGCATTCCCATTCAGTTGTCCATTCGATTTTTGCTTGTTCACTTTCTTGCCGGAGCCGGCGGCGCCATTCTCATGCCGATTGCTATGACTCTTCCTAGCCGTAGCCGATGAACGTGGCATGGAAAAGGGAGCCTAACACCCAGGTCCGAGTCAGCTTGGCAGATGGTAGCCAAGGACTTGGACCAGGCGGGGAGTAAAGACGAGACAGTATCAGATACACGGGTAAAGAAAGGGAGGAAGAGAGAGAGGGAGGGGAGGCGACGCAGTAAGTGTGCAGGAAAAGGAATGACGGGAGGGGTCTAAAAGCGGTAGAAGAGGAATGGTTGCGGTAAGAAAGGAAAGGAGAGGGAAAGAAAAAAGAGAAGTTGGGATTGAATATGGAGAAGAGAGGGTAAGAAGGCGTGGCGGAGGGGGTAAAAAGAGAAGGAAAAATGAATGAGGTTTGGTAGACTTTTGGGTCTGGATAGACGAGGCGGGAAAAAGACGAAACGAAAGGTTGGAACTGATCGTCAGGAAAGAGAATAAGGCAGTAAGGCGACCATAACATCTGTCGCTGCCTCAGGAATCTTCCTTTCCGTCTTCAAAACACAACCTAATGGCCCCAGTATGTAAGGTATGTATCTACTGCTTGTATGTATCGAAATCAGAGAGGGTCTTACCATACATTACAGTACCATCTATCGAATCTGATTGGTTGCCGTGGTTTATTTTTGGTCTACCCTATATTTCAGATGTTTATGGGACCTCTCAATCAACCATGGAAATCAAGCAGCCACGCGGATATCTTCTATTTAATTACTCTTACTGTACCTATCTATATACGAAGCAAAAGTCCGCGAGGAACGTAGTATCGTCGTCTACCACACTGTACACCCTGGTGGACAATTGTACTTTTACTTCAATCACAAGTACTAACCCCGGTCCTAGTGATAATACCCATGTGGGCTCTTTCATATCAGTGAACGCTCACTTCATATCCAGAACATTGATGTAACTAAAAGTCATACCTGGGACAGAATATTGCCAATGTCAGCGGCTATGTAGATCAACCCCGGTCTGCTGCATCAGCTTATGTTGATTCATGGCAACAAAGCTCGGTCCGCGAGTTAAATCAAAGCCGTGGATGACAACTTTGAAAATCACCACATTGATTTGTCTACCCAAGGACCGAACCGCATCCGAGGTTCTCACGCACCGATAGCACGATGCTTTGTTGCTAACAAGTACCTATTCTTCAATATCAATGGAGAAGATCCGAAGGACGTTCTGATCTCAAAACTCATTTTAAACTGTAATTGTGGGTGGCCTCGTAAGCCTGATGCTACGTGTACAGGCTACGGCTGTATTGACGCCAATGATATAGGTCGAAAGAGCACCTTGATCTTCCGATTGCTTTGTTTAACCCCTCATCTCTCGTACATATCCATTATCCATCACATATTTTATCCACCCGGGCTAAGGTTGTAGCATAATTAGCTAGGATGATCTGACGATCTCCTTATGTGTGGCTTCCTGCGGGGTTGAATCACCGTATAATCTGTTGATGACGGTGGACAGCCTAAAGCTAGATAATAAAAACCTACTCCGTACAACGGCGTAAGGAAATCATGCGTGCGGCTTTGCCGATCAACCAGCCATCAAGATCTTTTCCACCTAACAGCTGTCCTTTTTTTTTTTTTTTCAGCGCTATACGGTAGTGATTTTTTCGTGGGTAGCAATTGTACTGTGCTTCACATGCGGAATGCTCGGCTAACTTACGGTCTCGGCAGGCAAGACGGATGGATCACTCTTGGCTGGTGGTATGTTGTGCTCGGACCGAATTCTAGGATATAAAGATATACAGTATGAACAAGAGATACAAATGAACTCTTGGGTATCTTTTGTCCTACCCAAATATGTTCAAAAATATGCTGTTTTGCGGATATGCATTAATCTCTACAAAGACGGCAATCCAACATCTGTTATCCTGTATCAGAAGGTTTTTAACATAGTTCCCCAGGTCTAATACAGAATAAACTTTATTGAATGGCTAGTGTATTGCAGGCGATCATTCCCGATATCTCCATTGGTATTTAACGGCTCTCTCCATCTCTTTCAGTACCAGATATCATCGGGCCAAGAGAGTGAACACAGCGGGGATGGCTGGTGAGATCGCCATCTAGTATACTTAACTTTGAATGTCAATCAATCTCATTTTATGTTGCAGACTACTTTATGCCCTAGCTCAATACCTATTGCTTTCGCCTCTAGCCCAAAATGTGAAGTAGGATCCTTCGGTAACATCATACACCCACCATACAATCGATACCATCGGCCGCCCGTTCGGAATTGGCAAAGCTCCACCATATATAGCGTCATAGCTTTTGATGTCCTCTGTAAGGGTGATCGAGATATGATAACTCTCTATTCATGTTTCGCAATTTTTCCCCCCGAGTCGTGTGTGGCCTTGCCCCAATTTCCTTCTTTGCCTCATAGGGAGCGTCATGCATGCAGTATGTCAGGTGAAGCATCTTAGGGCAGTCTTGGTATCTTTATTATTCGTTGGATTAGGGTGGGATTTTGAGGATGATCGACGTTCTATACCCGGAAGGGGATGCTCGTTCTCGTTTCCACCAATAGTTGGCGCGATGGGATCCATTACGCCCCGCAAAGACTACAACCGTCAGATGATACTTACTGATACCGCTCTGATTTGTACATTGTACATTCAGTACATACATACTCATTGTCATTGACCCGCATTTGGTAGCTTTATTGCTGTGTTGGATATCTAAGAATGAAGAGATATCCTATCTAGGAGGGTATCTTTTTTAGGAGACATCCGCCTGAGTTCTTCTTGACAGGTAAATCTACTTATCGGCCCAAGGTTAAGTATTTAAACTTGCCGCTTGAGTAAGGCATGCTCGGCAAAGACAAGCTGCATACCAGGGCTACGTACTAGGTTCAGCGACGATTTCTGCAACGTCAGGAATACACCCTCGCCCCAGCATTCTTCCCCTATGTCTTTATCAGTTGATTTCATCTCTCTATAATTCACTGCTGTATATATTGTATACAATTCTGCAGTCATCCCCCAATTCGGGACACGAACCATAGTATCATCTCCACAACCACTAGTATCTGACGGTCTGTAAAGGGCGCTAGTCTCTCGAGTACAAAAGGAGCAAGTCAGCTACTATCTGTTTGATATCATATTCATTGTTAGGCTTATAGGGGCCAATTTTCCATTTCTGGCCCCAAGACAGACATTGGTATCGGTCGGAACGGTCTATATTATGGTCTGCAAATAGATCGATTTGTAGGGGCCATACTAAGTGTCGAGGTTTTTAGTGGTTTACTAGCCCTATAATCAAGGAAGAACCTGGGTAGTAAAAATATGACGTGAGAAAGAATGACCCGCAAGACGAGAAATATGCCTCAGTGAGTATCAACAATCGTGGGGTTGTAAGAAAGTAATATCCTTACTGGAGGGAGGTATATGCATCCTAAATAGTCAATATTACTATAGTTGTGGAATTTAAGCATCAAGTAATATACTCAGCGTTCAATATAGAAGCAATCTAGTTACGTAGCAATGGGGGCCATAGTAGCCACCAGGTATATATATACCATACTAAGCTGAGCACTCCCCGATCTAGTTTCTGACAGCATGACTAACAAGATAGTCACACACGTAATACAATAAAAAAAGACAAGCAACGAATTCATAGTTCTAAGAACATATCAAAAATAGAATTGCCACAAGCCATCCAGCCACATCAATACAATAATCAAGAGCACAAAAAACACTACCGCATTCCATACCCGTTTAAAAAAAACGCCAAGAGCCGTACATTTGTTTTGACCGGTGGCAGACCTATTGTTTTGACTTTTCATCTAGCAAGTACGTAGTAGCTTTAGACTGTCGATCATTTCACAATTTGAGGGCCAGGGAACCCTGGCTCAGAATCACGTTTCCAGCATGCACCCCTCTCAAGATGCTCCAACGCATCCACTGCAAAAGTTTGACCCATTGTTCCCAATCGAGTACCACTATCATACGATGCAAAAAATCTGCTTTCAGGCATCACAGCCGGCCATTGACACATGTGTTTCTATATGCTAATAGATAAAATTCCTCCCAATGTGACCAATCAATGGGCGTCTCTGAGAGGAAAAGGGTCTTTACTCGGCTTGGGCCCGAGTCAAGGGCCGGGGCTGGGCCGAACGCTAGTATTCTAGTGTTTTCGATGTTAGAGGTGAGAGTACGTAAAGGGAACTAGTAAGTGAATGGTCGATGGTTTTTGGGGAGCTTTTTGTACAGAAATTTTTCTCCTTTCTCACTTGCACGAGATCGGTCATATAAGGGAGGCCACAGGGGCCTTAGTAGAATACCGAGGCCTACTAACTAGGCCACTTAGTGAGCAAGCTTTTTCTTAGCTCGGAAAGAACACCGCCACCTGAAGAAGATAGATTACGGATCTTGTATCGTGGTAATCATTTCCGATGCATACCTGTGGTTCCCCTGTACGTACGATACGGTACAAAGTGACAATACGCAATATATACGCAGGGTCCATGTGGAGGCGGTTGCGTACATATATCTGCTGAAGTATAAGCAAGGTACTGTATGGGCGTTCAATTTAAACATGTGTCCTCTCCACTCCACATCGAGTCAGGGGAAGATCTATTTCTTTGCGGACCCTGTATCTTCGACGGCGTCCTCGCGGTCCCAACTCTCCATTTCCAAAATTCGCACCCTTGCTTCGATATCGAGGATCTGCTGCTGCCAGAATTTCTTGGCCTTCTCTTGAAGCTCCCAGGTGGATTTGAATTGCTCCAGCATGAATGGTGGCATCTCGGCCTTCTTTCCCCGCTTATAATCGTATATTACCAGGTCTTCGTGGACGCGGGCAGCTGGTCGTTGCTTCGCTTCTGATATGATTACAGCCTGCAGATGAAATGCGTCTTTGTGCGAATGAGGAGAAGATGGGTCATGCGCGACTTTATGGTAGACAGTGACCTCGTCGGGGTATTTCATGGGCTACAGGGGAGACCCTATCTATTAGCAAACATCATGTCGTATTTGGGGTTGAGGATGGTCGCACGAATTTGTAATCGATCTTGATGCTCCTCAGAATGATCCCAATTCCGGTATTTCCGACAATATTCATCCACTCTTTCCTATGAGCAGGATCTATATGTGTGGCAAAGTTGCGAGTCATGTATACCCGTCCAGTTTCGGCGTATCGGACGTAGGTGACATTATTAACATGACCTGAGTAGAATGATTAGGAGCGGGGAATTGCGATGAAGAGGACGCTATTGAGGCTCCGAGAGTAGAACACTTATACATACCCTTGATAAGCTGTCAGCTAAATGTGCCGAATAATCACCTAGTTTCAGATATGGACGTTATCAACTTACCATGGTATCCTGTGATCCACGCAAAAGTTCTGCATTAGCACCACTACATTATGCCAGGTAGAAGATAAGTTTGCCCTACCATCTCTCCCCAAGCAACGCTTTGCCGGAACAAGCCCCTTCTTGTCGCATCTGTTAAGTAACCTTCGCTTCCAGCGATCAATTCACGCCAATCTCGCGCAATTTGTTGCAGTATCTCTCCGGCTTCTTGGACTTGTATCGGCTTTAGACCAAACATCATGCATCTGCCCAATCTCCTCTTTGTCGTGGTAAGCCATCGGGGATCGGTCCTGTGGGGTTGTGGTGCGGCAGTTTTGGATGATTCGGCATTTCGTGCTGCGGGGGCTGATGTTGATAAGGCACGAGTGCAGAGGAGCGAGTATTGTGAAGTGAGTACAGTAAAACCCTGCTTCTTGAATGCGCGAATTGGGGTCATTGTTGAGCAATTGAGCGTCGATATGCAGTGGTTGGAGATGTTTCGAGATGCTCCGGCTGCAACTCCGGCTATAGGAGGAGTGGAGTAAGCCTAGGTTGGGTGGGTCCTCAACCCCAATATAAGGCAGTTCGGAAGGTTACTTCTTGGTTCAAGTTTCCGTTGCTTGTATTGATTCTACATCTAGAACTACCACACTCTTGAGCTTTCTTTTTGACACAACTCAATTTGGTGAGAAACATATGCTAACTTACTCAGATGCGGCAGTAGCCAGACCCTCACCGTCCCCAAAAAGTTAAAAAGTGTAAAAATTCCTGGATTTACTGTTGTTACTCAAACTACGAAGTATTTTCTTCATAATATATTCATCAAAGCGAGCGACAATAGTTGGAGGTATTTACAAAACAGGAAAGCAGGATGTCGGCCAGCGATCTCCATTCGAAGATGTGATAGGCAGCTGCTCTAGTTTGAATGTGGGCGAACCTCTCAGGCTTAGACCTGGCTTAAGATTGACGACGAGACAAACCTCTCCTCAGTAAGGTCGAGTTCTTGCTCATACCCATCATCTTCACACTTTCCAAATAGTCGCTGGTACCGTGGGTAGGGTCACTATCCTGAGCATCTTCCGCATCGCACAAGGAACCCTCATCACCCGCTCCATTGGGACCAGAGACTTGGAAATATTCGCGGTCATTGGAGGAAGCGTCCTTCACCATGTTCTCTGCGGCCTCTGGAAGCCATCCGTTGATAAAATCTCCATGACTGCAGTATGAGGAGCCACAGGCGAGTTCCAATGGAGGGGTACCGGACCAGCCGTCTGGAAGGATCTTCCGCAAGTCGTAGCGAATGGAGAACCGGAGACGAGGGATACGCTTCATACCAATTGGGCATCGATTCTCGCCGTAGCCATCCACCCAATCGGGGTTGGCCGAGTAGGCATACTCCAGGGTGTCTGGGTTGGCACAGTCGGGAAAGAGGAGAAGAGTCTGCAGATGGTACTTGCACGTCTCGGTCGGGAAGGCTGCGTCGTCCTTCTCCTCTCCTGCCTGGCTATCACAGAACCATTGAATACCAGCGTTGTCATCCACGCCGTCCTGGGACGTAGCAGTGGCATTGCCTGCCAGAAGTTTCATGTTCTGGGGGATGGCAATCTCGGCACTGTTGACGTCGACATAGTAGGCGCTGAATCGGAAGATAGGGACTGCGGTATAATTTGAACCATCGACATGATAGAGGGTTGGAACCCCTAATTGCATTCATAAGCACCAGCATTCACATGCGATACCGAATATACTTACAGTAGGTCGAATAATCGTTGGGGTTCTTAGCTGTGGAACAGCCCTTTTGCAGCTCTTCAGATGTTTTAGTGTTGGCAGTAATAGCATCGGAGCCAAAGAAACTATGCATATGGCTAGTATATTTGCCAGGGACCACCAGAGGATCGATGTTTTTGAACATGAACAACCCAACATTTGTCACCGTGTAAGCTTGTGCAAGGCCTGCCGCCAGGGCAGACAGAACGATGGAGCGCATGATTGAAAGAGCGACAAGGTAAAAAGAAAGACTAGATGTTAAAGAAAAAAAGAATGAATGAATGAATAATGGCGGTTGCACATTATTTCACAGTGGTAGACTTCGGATATTCTAGCTTTTATAGTATACATCCTCTTGGTATCCATTCATTTTACATCCTTCTTGGAGCTGTTGGGGGGGTCATCATGGGCTGATTGATGGATAACGCTTAGGTTGGCACTGCAATTGTCTCCAGTGATAGTCAGGATCCAGCGATGCCATGAGGGACAATGGTCAGGGTTTTCCAACCATATCCGGCAATGATCACCTCATAGTCGTCGTGATAGCTGTTGAGATGGATCTAAGCGAGAGAAGTCAGTGTTTCACATTTGCCGCCGAATGACTGGGTCTGGTTTAAGGTTCCTCAGCTCTAGGGGCAACTGACTCGGTCGAGATCAATAGCCAAGGAGCTGGTCCTGTAGGATATATTAATTTATCCACCCATGCGTCAAATATCGGCGGCAAAGGCCTCATTGAGACATTGCTCCATTCTCTCGTAAATCCCGGTCGCGTGTACCCCTTCCCCTTCCCCTTCCCCTTTCCTTTCTTTATTCTATATTACTCATTCTGAATTGTAAACAGTATTTTTCCTTTTGCTTCTAGAATCCTGTTCTTCAAAGATAGAGTGGACTTCGCCAACAGCTGCGTGGGGACCCGTAGCCAATCTAGTCTACTTCAGCAAATACTCTCCGGGCACGAAGTTTCGGAATCTTCCAATTCACTAGGAAGTGTTGGCTTGCAATATATGCGAATAGCAACTTAAAATATTTAGGTGCCAATGGGAGAGAGCTTTATGTAGGCGGAATTTACGATATCGCACAAAAGATATACGAATATTTACCAGTACGTGCCTCGTAAGAGTTGCAGATGCAAAGCGAAGGTTTTGAATTTAGAGAACAAGCAGTCCCTGGTCGTGGTCTTTTATGCTCATATTTAACTATACTAGTATTGCCCGCTGTAAGACGTACCGGAAAAGAAGGAAAAAAGATGAAAAAAAGAATATTCGGTAGTGAAAGTGGATATTTCTATCCCCTGTGGGAACCAAGACTCATCTGATATTGGAATCACTACGGAGTACTACGTAGTATATTTTTCTGCTATCCGAGAATCTACCATATGCCATTCAAGGTCCCAAACGTGGTGGCCCCGGGAGCTTGACTGGTCCACGCGACGGAAAATTAATCCAGGGACTGCGGCTCAGGAACTCGCCGCCCCCCACTCTTCTCCAGCATGTTTCAAGCTTTCATTGAGCAAAATTTAGGGTTATGTCGAGCTGGTAGGTAAACTTTCGCCAGTGGTATGACCAAGAAAGTAAAGATGTACTGGATCCAGAGTCTGCAATGAATATGTTTGCTGCTTTTGTTATCCGTGCTACGACGTCACCGGGTAGTCTCGGTCAAAGCAACGTAAAGCCAACATAAAGTCCAGCCCATTTATCCCGCATCCTCAACACATCTTCACACCTTCCTCCTTCACAACACCCCCCTTCCTTCCATCTTAATTTTCAATCTCTTCGGGCTCAAGTGGGTGAACAATGACGAATCCTGAACTTCGTCGGCAAGTAATCAATATCTATAAAGGTTTGTAGAGTTGCTTCACTTGAGCTTCCCGCTTCAATCTACCATTCATGCTGAATTGCGCTGATTTTGTGAACGACAGAGTTACTCTTTCTCGGGCGGAACTACCCACTAGGTTATGAATACTTCAGGAATAGACTGCATAAGGCGTTTGCCAGCCAGGCACATCTGAGGGATGATGAGCAGATACGGAAGGGTATAGCACGGGCGGATTTTGTGAAGAAAGGTATGACCATCTAAAAGAGAGTGATAGCTTGAGTGTGGCTTACCTGCGGGGCTATAGAGATTGAGGCACTGTGAGTTTCCCGCATACCCTATGCTTCCTGACTTCAGCCCCTTCAACAACTTTCGATCACCATACGTCTACGACTTAAGCGATCCTACCAAGTCTACAGCAACAGACTAGCTTGCTTAAGACTCCGGTTTCAGCCCTTTTCCAGTCAATTATCATTATTCATCTATCATGCAATTGCCAAGAGAAACAATGACCGTCTATACTAACGAAAAAACGACCAGGTACTACTTGAAGCGATATCGCACGTTGAAACAGCGCTATGAACGCAATTAGGGCCAGTAAGGCAATTGGACATCACACCTTGACTGAAACGAAGTATACACATGGAAAATCAACATAAATGGGGTATCACCAATAGGAAGTGAGCAACGGGCTGCTCTGCTTTTTCTGCTTTTTCTTTGCTCGTCCACCCAAAAAACCAGGCGATTCTATGAGTTCTTTGTGCTAGGCCTTCTTTTGACCCCACCAAGCACTCACTTCCAAACATTCGCCATTTGCAAGGCCCCCTTTCTGGAACACATCGGCCATCATGGCTGTCCACCATCTATCCCATTCATCTCTACTCTTCCCGCTGGCCTCCATGAGGATAGGCTCCATGCCCTCGATCATCTGGATCACGGTCAAAAGAGCTGTGCGCCGGATGGACATTTGATCTGCCGTTAATTGCTTGCGCGCGCCACCGCTAGAGTCCTTGCTTTCTCGTTCCCACCGTAAGTCGCCTAGTGGTATAGCAATCCGGCGGCTATCCACTTTCTCTAAAACGTCCACCTCGGAGTTGAAGGATAGTCCAATCGTGGAACAAGGTAGTGCAGTGAGTTTGCGACGGTCGAATGCTTTCTCAGCCCAAGAGTTGTAGTCTTGAAGGAACTTGTTCTGCACTCGTGTGAATGGTGTGGCAGGCGAAAATGTGTAGGTTGCGGTCGCATCCGCAATTTCTTGTTCCCTCGATGCTAATTTACGAGCGGGCGCAGGATTAGGGAGCAGTGATCGGAATACTGAATCGGAATCCCATACTTCCAGGACGCCGCCCGGTTTGAGAACTCGCAGCGGCTCGCTCAAGCCGGATGCCTGCTGCGCTGGACTGGAGGGGCACATGGACGCATCCTTAATGAAGACAAAATCGAAATAATCGTCTGGGAAAGGCAAACGAGGCTTCCGTAGATCATGGCGCTTGAATTGCCAATTGACACCCTTTTTGCGCAAGTCAGGCGCTAAGGAAACGAGGTCAATACCGTGGAAAGCAACATTGCGAGCGCCACGACGGGCGAAATAGTCATGAGACAAGCTTGACCAGAGACCCGAACCGCATGCGATCTCAAGGACACGTTGGGGAGGGCGATCGGCAAAGTATGGGTTGCAGAAGGGGCCTCCGAAAACGCGCAGCAGCATGAGAGAGCGCAGAGTTTGGCGATGGATTTCCGGGAGATCGCATGGTAAAGGGTACAGACTTTCGGGGTCGCGCAAGTACGTGCGATCGCCCTGACGGATCAGAGGATAATTCGTGTAGTCATTCAGGGAATTGAGCGAGGAAGTGGACGTCGCTGCTCTGGTAGGACCGGTTGAGCTTAGGATCGAATGCAGGTCGGAGCCAGAAGCTGCAGCGGGGGCGAACGCCGCCGTGCTGACTGACATCATATCCATTTCTGAAACAAAATCCCCGTTCTCATCGGTCGAGCGTTAAGGTGGATCTGCCAGGGGTGGTTTGCATTCTCGTGCACAGCAGGAGTCAGTAGTTCAAAGCATTGTACAATTATTGTTGGAACCGAATACAAGGGCGCTTAGAAATGGGAAAGAGAAGGTGCAAGGAGGGAAAGAAAGGAAAGAACTATGTCAGGACGCAGTCCGACGCAGAGAATGGTCCATGGAAGAGAGAGAAAGAGAGATTGAGAAGAGAGCGAGGGGGGGCAAGAAAAAAAGAGCATCGTGACAGGAAAACCACGGCCAAGTCCCGTCCCACGACCCCTAAAAGCGGCCTGTCCACTCCACTACGACCGGAGCCTACTTAATACTACTCTATATTGGGTTACGGAAGGTCTCGGTCTCTCATGCTTCTACCTTCATGATTTCTTCCGAGGCGGTCAACCGATGGAAGCATCGGCGGTGGTTCTTGACTGACCTCTCTCTTTTTTTTTTTTTGGGTTTTTGCCTCCCACCACGGATACAACTGTTACAGACGGAGAAGCGCGATACTCCGTCCACTAGTGGCGGAAATCCTGCATAATACCTTCCTGCAAAGCCGGGCATCCACCCCGCCACCGCCGCCGTATGGATGGATCACCAGGTGTCTTGTTGTTTACAACTAGTAGTTCATCTTTCGTTTCAGCTCCCAAGCCCCCCTTGGGTCTGTGATCAGACTTTAAAGTTCACGGAGAACATCTGTCAGGTCATGCGTGTGAGAGTTCAAGAATTGATGATCGGAGAATCGGTTTGAAAATCGGTCGCAGTGGAACCATCACACCAAACCGAAATTTTTGAATCGAACACCCAACCACCGTTGAGGTCTGGAAGCTAACGTAGGTACAGACTTTGATAGTGGCCACTAACTAATTACAGCTACTTTGATTAGCTGTGGAGAATTCGGTAGAATAAGTAAGAGAGGGAAAGAGAATAAATCAAAAACAAAAACAGGGAAGCATGGGCGAACGGTTTCTTTTTTTTTTTTCTTGGAAGGTAGAAAAGATTCGTTTATTGCTCTCCGATGTTGATGCAAAGTGGTTCTAGAATATCGAGAACCATGAAATTCAAAATTTTGAATGTTGGGACGCTCGAGAACGGCTAAGGTGACACGGAGGAGCAATCGATGACAACATTCCCCCATACGCCGGATGCTCCTCATTGGACTTCCACCGTATGGGGAATCTCGGGTGGCGGTCCGGTTTGTGAACAATTGCGATGCACGTGCTGGCACGGGTCACTGGGTGGCCTGAGGCCTTAGGTACTTTGGCAATGGGTATCGAGGCAGGCTAAATCACGTTGTTGTTTCAGGCAGAGATGTACGGAGTCCTAGGAATTGAGGGGCTCGTTCGGCCCTTTAACACGGTCTTGTCCCCCAATTGACTTTGAGAAGCTGCCAGAGGAAAAATAAGAGCCCGCTCTATACCGGTTATGCAACACTTGCAACCCTCTGCCGTTTCTTGGCATCAAACTATCGCTCTTAACTCAGCACTAAGCTCTCTTGAGTGCGGCAGAACAAGGATGGTGAGACGGATATAGTTTATATCTGCTGAAATTGTACTTATTTGACATCCGTGAGGGTTGATTATGTGTAACCAAGAAGCTCTAGCGTAAGTAAATTATGGGCATTGCTGGCCACGGAAGAGATGAACATGGCTTGATTTAAGGAGGAATTAATGTGGTGGTTGTGTTGCAATATGAAGCACACTGGAATGAAAGTCGACAAGTTTTGTGTACCCTCTTGACCAGAATATATATATATATATATATATATACTTTTTGATAGAGGGAGATATTTCAAAGTAGAACTCAGTTGCTACCCCCGAGTATACAATCTTCCATGTTGTTATTTTGGACTACCTTCAGTGGTTAGAATACCTATATAGGTGATTGTGGAACCATTTCGAACTCAACCGCATTTGCAGGTTGACTCTTGGCCTAGCACCAACTGTCTACTTGTGACATGAACGCAGGAACATGAGGCACGCTAAATATAGATTGAAATGTGGTATATCTGTCATTCAAGAAATAAAGGACAACCCAATTTCAAAGGCAACCACCACGACCAACAAAGGGTGGGCATTTTCATTGGGCATTGGTACCAAGCCAGCGTTTGAGTCTTGCTGATTTAGCTGCATATTTTGAAAGGAAAGGTCACACAATATGGTTGCAGTTGACTCCATCCTTTGTTTGGAGACGGAGATCAAAAACACCATGCTCCAGTATAGAGCCCACTAGTAGGCATTAGTTGGTAAAGCCATGTCTGTGTAGTATCAGCTTGAAAGGTAGAGCTGGTTGGGTAGAAAGGGTACATTGGGGGCGACGCAGCTATCAAGCCCGTTCCACCCGACTACTAGTACTGTGTATCGGGGTGGAAGTGGATAATCGAGGTAAACACTCACATATTACATAGTAGGGTCCATGGAAGCGGGAACAACAAAGGTCATTGTTCAATGATGTATCCTGTGAATGATTAGAAAACTAAATTTCGTTAACAACCATGGGTTCTTCCACAAGGGGAGGTAGTAGAAGGAAGCCTTCTGGACAATACGGTACGTGCTATATAGGTTAGTGCCAGTGGACCTTTTTTCAGATCCCCGGTGGATTTGGCTGAAAGCGACACTTTTGAGAAGAAACAAAATCCGGGCGTCTTGAAAGCGGTCTTGGCTGATCGGCGGCGGCGAATCACGCCCTCGGATGCCGGGCCACGTGATCTCAGCGACTCCCGCCTTGGATGCAAAGCACTTTGCAGCGTCAAAGCGATGAGGAACTCATCTCCACAAGCCTTTGGCGCCTTAGTTACATCTGTTCACCGATTTATACGTGCCGTTCGTCACATCTATTCAACCTCATTGTCCTTGGGGCCGCTGTTTAACTCCGCTCCAGGCTTCTCGCTAGACCGCCTCCCCCACTTGTTACTGTGACTCGCTCGTCCGACGCCGGCCCCTATCATTCGACCGTACGTCACCTGTTAGGCTTCAAGATCTTCGGTTGCGACTGAAATTGACAACAGACAATTTTATAGTGGAATTGCTGCGGTTGTGATTTCCAGAGAGACACTTTGATTCGGGGCGGTTCCGCTTCAGGACCCCATGTTGAAGAGAAGGAGAGAACGAACCCGGTCCCCGACTCCTCTCTCTCCTGCCACTGCTCTACTGTCTCCAGCGTCGCTGACCCTCACTTTCTCCGAAACTCCCCCTCAAGCAAATAACTCACGGTCTCATCTGCCACGGTAAATGGCAGATGGTACCTACAGGTTCCAGCAGCCTGGGGCCGGGCAGTTCTTCTTTCAAACGCAACAACAACAACCTTCTCATCAACGACACCTTGTCCGGAACGGGACGAATTCTCCGACAGGAAGACTGAAATTTAGCCACGACACACCATCGCCTTCACGATCCCCTCCTCTTGGCCAGGCAGCTGCGCTCAATCCATTCACCATGTACAGTCAGACGCACCAAGGGCAGCATGTCCTGATGAATGGCGGCCAGGCTCACCAACGCTTCGGCATGCAGATGCCGAAGTTTCAATCCCAGAGTCATCATCCTCACCCTGCACAGCAAGCTCATCACCACACACACCACAACCAAGCCTCCCACAATATCAACCACCAGCACAACTTCTCCAGCGGGGCGTTGGCTGCCGCTACTCCTCATTTCACCCCGAGCCACATGCAGAATGGGGCTCATGCTAACGTTGACGAAGATATCGATGAATCCATGAATGAACATTGGCAACAACAGCTTCAGCTGGCCGCTGAATCGCGGCAGGCGAGTTCCCCGCATTACTATGCCCGGGCCGTCGCTCAACAGACCAAGGGCATCCAGATCGCTCCCAGTCAGCCTGAACCCCAGGAGAATGGAGGTGATGTGAAGAATGGGCTGACGAAAGTAAAAGCATCCCCTCGCCAGGGCTGGTATGCCCTCGATTTCGGAGGACAAGGACTTCGTGCACTCTCCACGTCTTTGTTCAGTTACGATTTCCTGAAGGAGCTGTACCTAAATCACAACAAACTCAAGGTGCTACCCCAGACAATTGGCCAGCTTCGGAAACTCGAACACCTGGATCTCTCGGGCAATGACCTCGCCGAACTTCCCGAGGAGATCGGCATGCTTACGAGCCTGAAGAAGCTTTACCTGTTCGATAACAATATTCGCACGCTCCCTTACGAAATGGGATACCTCTACCGGTTGGACACTCTGGGAATTGAGGGCAACCCATTGAACGATATTCTTAAGTCTCAGATTATGAAGGAGGGTACCAGAGCCCTGATCAAGTATCTGAGGGAAGAAATGCCAGGTTTGTGAAACCATCCAGTCATGTTGATGGAGATTCTTGTTTTCATCCATGCTAACGAATGTACCTTAGAAAACCCCCCACCTCCGGACAGAGATTGGGTTATCCTTGACGAGACTGCGGGTACCTCCACTGAGAAGATCACCGTCCTTTCCCATAACGCACTGTGCGATTCATCTGCGACACAGTCCCACTTCGGATATACTCCTTCTCGTGCTTTGTCATGGGAGTTTAGAAGGGATCTCATCCTTAGCGAGCTAAGGTCTCATGACTCGGATATTGTTTGTCTGCAAGAAGTAGACCAAGGCAGCTACAACGGTTATTTCAGAGAGCAATTGGCTTACAATGGTTACAAGGGTGTATATTGGCCACGAGGAAGAGCCATGGGTATGCAGGAGGAAGAAGCCAAGTCTGTCGATGGCTGTGCCACCTTCTTCAAGGGGACCAAGTTTATTCTTCTTGATAAGCAGATGATCAACTTTGGCCAGACGGCAGTACGGAGACCTGATGCGAAGGGCCAGGATGACATATACAACAGATTATGGCAGAAGGATCACATTGCAGTTGTTGTATTCCTTGAAAACAGGCTGACGGGCTCGCGGTTCATCGTCGTGAATGCTCATCTCTATTGGGACCCGGCTTTCAAGGATGTCAAGTTGATCCAGACAGCTATTCTTATGGAAGAGATCACGAAGCTCTCCGAGACGTACGCAAAATGGCCTGCGTGCACGGACAAGGCGGCGTTCCGCTTCTCAGAAGCGGAAGGTGGTGAAGCGCAAACTCCACCGGAACCCGCTCCATCCATGGAGTATAGCAGTGGCGATCAAATCCCTCTTTTCATGTGCGGAGATTTCAACTCATCGCCTGGGTCAGCGGCGTATAACCTGATTGCAAATGGACGGCTATCGGAAGAGCATCCGGATCTCGAGAAGCGACTTTATGGAAACTTGAGTCGGGTTGGTATGACCCACCCGTTCAAGTTGAAATCCGCATACAACTCGATCGGCGAGTTGAGTTTCACGAATTATACACCTGATTTTAAGGATATTCTGGATTATATCTGGTTTACATCGAATACGCTTCATGTTTCGGCGTTACTCGGCGAGGTGGACAAGGACTATCTACAGAAGGTTCCCGGGTTCCCTAACTTTCATTTTCCTAGTGATCATATCGCATTGTTTGCGGAGTTTGTTGTTAAAGGGAAAAAGGGGAAGGTTGTGGAGGCGGATTTTGGACCGCAACGGAATTGAGGGATGGTGCATGCTGAATCTTACGAGACTGGTGTTTGCGTAGCCGGTTTATCTTGTTATCTCGGAATCTTTGGGGGCTTTTCGCGTGTCTGTGGTGTTCGTCTACTGCTTTTGCTTTTCTCATTTCCTCTTTTTAAACATTCTTGTGAGTCTTATCTGTTGTCATTGCTGTCGCCAGAGGGCGTTCGTGCAATCGAACCTGCGTATGATTTTCTTGGAAAGTAGCTTTCAACGGCGCGGCAGTTTCATATCTTTCTCATTACATGTGCTAGGATCTTACTCTTTCCCTCATGTCGAATTTCTACTCACATCTGTGGCTTTTTTTTCCATACTTGGTGTTGAGGGGCTGAAGGTCACCTGGCTTGGAGTAGTTGGGTCATGAAGACGTTTCTCTGCTTTGCTATGGTTTCTTCTTAGGCGAATGGTGGATTTATCTTTGGTCGCTTGTTTTCATATAGCCCTGAGGTCTTGCACAGCGTCTCCAGGTGAGTAGAGGACTGCCTATAAGTGTACTATGGTTGCTCGATGGCGAGGTAAATTTTCTTGATATATTAAACCGTGGTTCATTTTATACTCAGAATATCGGTAGCAGTCAAGCATAGAGAGAATAATCTTGTTGAAGGAAGTAGATATGTCTATCTATACATGAGTCTTGGATATAATACAGTTGTGGCTGATGTTACAAATAATGGGGGTATCCAAACTAAAAGCGATTCACTGTTTCTGGGAATCCTCTATCCGTCTCCAGACCCCAACAAACCCTCCGCCGACTATACGGGAACCGACCTTCGGCCGACAGACAAGCACATTATCTTCTTCCTTGGGCGCTTCCTCAGGGGTAGAGATGCTCTCCACGGAACCGTCGTCAAGAGCCTCCCGATCTTGATGGACAGCACCTTCGCTCGTTTCAGAGGGCTCATTCCACGACGAGGGATCCGCGCGAGACTTTCTCACCGCAAAGCGAACGTCCCATTGACGTCCGCTACTGATGCCGGCACCGAGCTCAACGACCTTCTCTAGGATGAATGGCAACTTCTGCCGACGGATCAGATCTACGCAATCACCGATCTGTGTGATGCTGGGCATGAATACAGCGAGCACACCGTTCTCTTTCAGGATCGGGGCCACGTGGGTGATGCGCTGGTGCGCGGCTGGCATATCCAGGATCGCATACGAGAGGAACGGGTCGGCCGATTTCTGCGTTAGGGGTAGAAGACTAGTAGGGGTGCGGAGCCGTTTCTGCTCTGTTATCCAGTTTTCGACGTGACCTACGTAGAAATCGACGTTTCCTGCGTAGAGACCACGTCGGAAGCCGCGGACGATTTTCTCAGCGTGGGCGGAGAATTTTGGAGATACGTCCACGGTGTGGATTATGGCTCTGCGTTGACTGCGCCATGTATCCCATTGTTGTTGGGTTGGGTCGATGGCTGTTTCGTTCTTGGGCGCACTTTTTTTGTCCTTTTCTTCTGGTTTCTCGTCCGGTCGTACGGGCCGGCCTTGTAGGTATTGGATTTGGGATTGAGCTGGTAGCGGCGGGGGTGTTGGGTTTGCCGCTTGGATTGCGCGTGCCAGGTGCAGCGTTAGGGAACCATGGCCCGTTCCGGATTCGAGGATTTCGAGAGGCTGTTGAGTGTGTTCTTCTCCTTCTGCTGGAGGTGCTACGTGGATATCGAGTAGGGAGACGATGAGATTGGCGTCCGCAGCGTAGATCTATCGACACAGTATTAACTATCTAGGCACGCAGCGGAGCCATCAATGGTGAAGAATCGCATCCATACCGGTGTTACCAAGCGAGGCGTCAGGACGACATATTCGTCCAGCGTAGGGAGAGTGAGTCGATATTCGGGGCCTGTGCTCGGGTGGAGAAATGATGTTAGACTTCAATTTTTCCTTTCATGTCCCTTCGACTAATTGATATTATGCTGACCTTTCTGGGCCTGAATTCGCTCGCGGACTCGCCGGCCGATGATGCTGCTGTGCTCTAGATACCCACGCCGGAGGTCTGTTTTCTGACCCGGTTGCAAGGGTTTCGTTAACGATGGGGTTTTGCCATGGATAATTGCTCGGTCTCCCTCTAATCGTTCAAGTTTGGTTATTAATGATGAGCGCAATAATGCGACGGAACCGTGGAGAAGAAGCATACCTCGAAAGACGGAGAAGTCCGTATCGATAGACCTACGGAACGTAGGGACTGGCTTGGGAGAAGTCAGTCCCAAGGCTCGCCGCAGCGATTGAAGCATACGAGCCATGCAATTGAGATTGAATTAAATGGCCGTATGACGTGGGAAGATCTTATAATCCGTAAACTGGATCTGATGTTCTTTCTCGGAATTAGTTCTTCGGTTCGGCTAAAAGTGAAGGGACCTTAACCAAGAAAAAATAAAAAAAAAAAAAAAGAAAGCCAGGCCCCATAATTGAGATAGCGTGATATCAGATATTACATCAACGGGTAAATTTCTCTCATTTTTACTCCGCATAATTCCCAGAAACTGGTTTAGTGCGGTTTACTCCGTACTAAATCGTTGAACTACCGCTCAGGCACCACATTTGTTCAATCAGGCAACTCTAAACACTGGTTTGATTGAAGGATGGCTGAACTACTAAACAGATCGAGTATAGCCACATCGCGGGGTTTATCTCCTGGCTTCCCTTCCTTTTCCTCTTCACCGGTGGGATGTCAAATGAATACCGCATCCTTTTAGCTTTCACTCCTATTCAGACTCCTTTTTTTTTTTTTTTTTTTTTTAAACAATCCACCTACTCATTTTTGTTCTCTGTTTTCATCGTGATTACACGTAGCAAGTAATCACTTCCATACACTGTCATCATGAGCGCCTCAAATCTTCCTTATATGAAGACTAACCCCAAGATCATCTTCTTCACGGACTTTGACGGGACCATTACACTCCAGGACAGCAATGACTTCTTGGTACTTGTCTTCCCAGAACCTGTTACAGGACTCCTCGCTAATTGACCTTTGCCTAGACTGACAACCTCGGATATGGACAAGAGAAGCGTCGTCAAGGGAACCTTGACGTCTTGGAGAACAAAGTTAGCTTTCGGTATGTATCACGGTGTAGGTAATCCCCCCGGGGCACAGTCTGTTAACCCGTTTGCTGTTAGTGATGCCTTCCGTGAGATGCTAGACAGCGTCAAGGTTCCCTTCAATGAATGCATCGAGCAACTGAAAAAGAACATGCAGCTTGATCCATATTTTATCGAATTCTACCACTGGTCCAAGGAAAACAACGTGCCCATTGTAGTATTGTCATCCGGCATGACCCCGGTCATTAGCGCCCTGTTCGAAACTCTACTAGGACATAAACCCGATGACCACCTCGTTATTGTCGCCAACGATGTGGAAAGCCGCGATGGCAAGGATATTAATACTGAGGGTGGTTGGCAGATTAAGTATCACGATGATAGCCATTTTGGTCACGACAAATCCCTGGAGATTAAGCCCTATGCCGCTCTGCCGGACAACGTACGCCCGACCTTGTTGTACGCGGGAGATGGGGTCTCGGACTTGTCGGCTGCTTCGGAGACCGATCTTTTATTTGCTAAGAAAGGAAGGGGTGCGTGTTTTCCCTGGGATTTTCTTATTGATTCTTCCACCCTCTCCAGTGAGCTGATTATTCCTAGATCTGGTGACCTACTGCGAGCGTCAAGGGACACCCTTCACCGTCTTCGAGAGCTGGTCCTCAATCCTGGCCACAACGAAAGACATCCTGAGCGGCAAGGTCACGATCAAGAAGGTGGCCCAGGAAGGACTCGAAAATGTCCACAAAGAGAAAAACTAAAGTAAGACATCTGAGATTATTAACGGCGAGGCCGTTGGATTTATATAGAGAGAGAAAGAGAGCCCCATAGATACTAAATATACATCGTAAAGATAGTGAGCACCCTGATTCATAGTAATTTCCTGGCAATAAACTTTCTGGCCACTGATGACAGGCCCATGGACCCACAGGGCTCGATCGGCCCAGTCAGGGTGGGCGTGACCGCCTTCTAGACTTGGCGGGATTTGTGGCGACCTTCAAAATACGGGGGAATTTCGGGTCCAACTGAGCTGCTTTATCCTCCATTTCACGGCCCCTTGAGATGACCTAGTGTTGGGTCTTCTCTGTGGCGAGCCCCAACTCTTCTTTTGCGGCTTGCTATACTTCATCATGCTTCAGCGCTCGGCAGTTTTTTATCGATTTAGAACTTGCCAGGGGTTTTCACTACCAACATGACACGCCGATTTGTATGGTCCCTCGCATCGATTTCTACAGCTTGTGTATGATGTTTAAGTGTCTAATATGTCTTCTCATAGGTTCGCGCGGGTGTACAACTCGCAGTATTTGCTGTTTGTATACTGCTTTTCGTCGTAACTCTAGATAACCGGTTTCGCGTCCTACCTGCCGCTATCCATGGCCACCTTCCTTCGCACTATTCAGGACTCGTTGTTACAGATGTCACCATCAAATCGTGCTCGCATATCAACCCTTTCTCCAAATGCAAACCTATTTCGCCGTCATGGACACAGGTCGACAAGGATCTATATTTGCGCACTGGTTGGACGTCCACCGCCTTTGTCCAATTTGAGCGGAAAAGGGAGGAGGACCTACTTCCTACGGACAAAGTTGTGATTGATTTGAAGATTAGTCGGCTTGTTCCAGAGACCTCTGAAGATAATAAGAATGGGGAGAAAGACGAAGCTACGTGGGAACCGAGACCAGGTGGAATCTGGCTGAGACGAACAGCCAAGCGCCACGCGAGTGACTCGCAGACTGCGATCACCTTGGTCGATGTTCTTTTCGGTGCCGATGCGGTGGATCCACGGATTGGCTGGGAGGTCAGAGATACGCCGCTGCTACTGGATAGTCGAACGGAGGAATTAGAAGCCCGTATCAGTATTCAGAGGGGAGATCCTCAGAAGCTGAAAAGACCAATTCCCAGAATCAATGAACATGGTCGCTTTAAGATTATGCAGTTGGCCGACTTGCATTTGAGTACCGGTCTTGGACTGTGCCGTGACCCTATCCCAGCGGAACCTGTTCCTGGCCAGAAGTGTGAGGCTGACCCGCGGACGCTTGAGTTTGTGGAGAGGCTCCTGGATGAAGAGAAGCCCGATATGGTGGTCCTTACTGGTGATCAGGTGAATGGTGAAACCTCTAAGGATGCACAAAGTGCGCTTTTTAAGTCTGTCAAGCTGCTTGTGGATCGCAAGATTCCCTACGCAGCTATTTTTGGCAATCACGACGACGAGGGCAATCTCAACCGGTCGGAGCTTATGGCTATGTTAGAGCAACTGCCGTATTCAATGTCATCGGCTGGCCCTGAAGATATAGACGGTGTCGGTAACTACATCGTCGAGGTTCTCGGCCGTGGTAATAGCGCACACTCAGCTTTGACGCTTTATCTTCTTGATTCGCATTCGTATTCGCCAGATGAACGGCAATTTCGAGGTTATGACTGGATCAAGCCCAGCCAGATCCGCTGGTTCAAGAACACTGCCCAAGGCCTTAAGAGGAAGCACCATGAATATGCGTACATGCACATGAACATGGCATTCATTCATATCCCGCTGCCTGAATACCGTGACCCAAATAACCTGTACATTGGCAATTGGGACGAACCCCCAACCGCTCCAGGATTCAATTCAGGCTTCAAGGATGCACTTGAAGAGGAGGGTATCCTATTCGTTAGCTGTGGACAGTAAGTTCAACCCTGTTTTGCCCAATTAATATGTGACGTCTTTTGTTGCTAATGGACTTGTAGTGACCACGTCAATGACTACTGCATGATTAACAACAACAAAGACGAGAAGCCATCGCTCTGGATGTGTTACGGAGGGGGTGTTGGATTCGGAGGCTATGGAGGCTATAAAGACTATGTCCGGCGTGTGAGGTTCTTTGACTTCGACATGAATGCAGGGCGGGTTATGACATATAAGCGACTTGAGTATGGTGAAACAGAGGCCAAGATCGATGAACAGATGATAGTTGATGGTGGTGCTGTGAAAGGAATGTCGTGAAAAGATGAACATTCACAGGGCATTTCATATTAAGGGTTAGCGAAAAAAAGAACCATTGTCCCTCAGCTTCTTTGACAGAGCGATTTACCCTTGTTTACAAAATATTGTTATCAATGCCGGCACGCCCTCTGTTAATTTCGGTCCCACGCTCTTTTACATTCTACTCTTGTGTTGTTTATATTATCTTTGTATAGTGCGAGGACGTCAACATACGCTGGCTCTAGAGGGCGTCGGCTGGGGAGTTTGGATTCGTGGGAAAGGGGATCGAAGGTATCATGAAAAGAATGCTATTTTCTGTTTGCTACTTCCTTATTCATACATATCCGCACCAATATCCATGTTATTAGGAATGCTGCGTATGTTTCTCGGGGTTAATGATCCTGTTCGATATTTTGTAGGTGCTCGTATAGTGGGCTTACAGTGGCATTTACTATTGGTAAACACTCTACCACCATTTTTCGAAAAAAACACGATCACTCCTATCACCCATGAGACCTCGAAGGGTAGCGACAAACTCATCAGTCATGGCAGGCGGTCCGCACATGTAACAAACCGTCTCCTCAGCCTGGATATCGCCATTCGGCCCAGTAAGCGCCGTACGCAGATCATCCTGATTTATTCTCCGTGGGTGAATACTCAAATCATTGGGCTGTTCTAGCAGAAGTGGAGATGATGCATCTCGTAAGCTAGTAACAAACAGATCGAGGGTTATGCGTAACCGATGAGACTGAGACTGGGAATGAATGATCTGACGGAGGCGAGAGAGAAAGAGGATTTGGTCCAAAACGGGTTCAGGAGATGTGGCAGCTTTCTGGGATGCTGTTGCTGGGAGTTTAGTAGAATAGAGAAAGTGGATATTGAAAGGGTGGTGTGAAGCTGGGGTTTCGTCTGCATTGTTATTTAAATGTGAGAGGATAGAAATTAATGGACTTTGTTTTGGTTAGCACGTTGATGTTGGAGTATATTGATATAAAAAGCCCATAGTGTAGTGAGTAGCACTGGGCAACTTACTTGATACCCACTCCCCCAGCAATGAGAACTACGTTTTTGACCTTTTCGAGATCTATCCCAGACGGAGGAGGCCAGACGAAGCTCCCGCCGACTCGGATGCATAGCTCCTTTCCTAGAATTTCATCCCTGGGTTTCCAGAGCCAGGCGCTGGCGGGATTGGAGAGTGCTTTTTGAACGGCTAGTTCCACGTACGGGTCTCTGCCTCTCGGGTCCACGGGAGGAAGGCCTGTTTCCTCGTCTTCCACGGCAAGTGACTCTGTCGTGGGCTGAAGAGAGGGGAGGGCTTCAGCATCTGCTGGTGTTGAGGTAATACTGAAACCCCCGGCGTCGGATATCGACGGGATATGCACATCTAGCCATTGACCAGGAGCGAAAGTGAATGGCTGAGGTTGATCAGACTATTACGGTGTTAGTATATGCTCCAATAGCATTTGGCATGTATAGTAACTGTGGCTCTTGAGAACATGCGCATTTTGGTATGATTCAAATATCAGTACCGTAGAACCGTTGGTAAATCCATGACAGAACTAATTGTTTGGAAGGAAATGACTAATTAAAGATACTATACCTCTTCACCCTGGTTTGACTCCTCTAGCGCTTGCACCCGCGGAGGGATGGCCAAGTGCAGCAGCCGTACGGTAGGATTGACCTCTTCGATATGTGATAGCCGCACATTGTACAGAACATTTTGCCGGGGTTCTGCTGCGGTGCGCAGCTTATGAGGCACCGACGTCTTTTTACTGGCCAGAGAGCTCATTTCGTGCCGAATCACCGAGGGACGGCGCTTATGCGACAGATTGAGGTTGGGTGGTGGCTTATGGAGTTGGCGGCAACGCAAGAGTTGGAGGGGTCGCATGTGGTATGTATGTACAGTACCCAGTAGAGTGATTAGTATATCCACTTATGAGCGCATTTGGTTTGATTGGCACTGTAGCATTTAAGCTCCTCTTCTTTTAATCCCTGTAGAAATGTGTGATAGAAAATGATGTGGGTTGATGTCGACTTGGGTAGTAGTAATAGTCAAGTGACATGACATGTACATCCAATGACGTTTGTTACTAATACAATGAATACAAACCCTTTTTAGTTAACGAGTTGATCTTATAGATTCCATCCACACGTCTTTATCCTTTTCACTTACTTCTTAACGTGACAGAAATTGCCATTAAAACAAAATATTTTCAAATAAGACAAGAATTGAACACGCTTATGGACACAGGTTTCTTTCCTCACACCTGATTTTATTATGCAAGTGGAATCACAGAAGCACACTGCTAATGTTTAGATTCCCCACCCCAGCGCTTTGCTCTCTAACAGGGCAGTCTAGGGAAACTATGAATTACTGCAGCACCACGGACAAATTCACAAACTAACCAGTGGTGCTAGTCTGTTGCTCAACCATGCAGATCAATTTCTCCATCACACGGCCTAGCGTGTGACGGCCGCCAGCCAATCTTCCACTTTCGCCATCTTATTGGTGATGAGCACCCGAGCCCCGGTTGGTGCTGGCGCTTCCCTGGTGGCAAGCATTGGCCAGATGCATCTCTGAGAAACAGTTAACTTGCGGTGCTCTAGAGTTTCTTTGAAGTTTTGTCGCCGACTCGAGGTGCTAGTGCCCCTCTTCTGACCCTCGCCATGGGCTAGAGAGGTTGGCCCTGGCGACCTGGGATCACTCTGCTCCATATTAACGGCTTCGTCCCGGCTGATCCTCCAAGCCTTTCTCTGATAGCCGTCTTTCTCCTGTCTCTTTGTGCTCTATGTGTTTGGCCGTCCGATGCGACTGAGTTGAATGCCCAGCCAGCCGGTCTGGCCACAGCGTAACTGTTCAAGGACACAATCTCACGGCGCAAATTATATACCTAACGTTGTATACCCCACTGATCTACCAACTACGGGAACTCGTGTCTTCGTGGAAATAAATATACAATCGCCATCATGGTTTCCTTACCACGAAAATGGCGCAGACACAATCTCTTTTATATTTTGATGGCCCTTGAGCTTCCCATCACTATTGTCATCCTCACATTCACTGGGATTGCTTCTCACGATCTATACCGGACCAAGTTATGGCAAGATGGAGCAGATAATGGCTTCAACAGTTCTCCCGATGAGATTCTCTATGCTGCCGCGAACCATAGGCCCTATAAAGTCCCTATGGTCTGGGGCTCTTTGTATGTGTTCATCTCTTGCCTTACAACGATTAAATCTTAATTATGCGGCAATAACTAACGGCATTGTAGCATAACGAATTACAATCTAGTCATTGGCGTTTTGAGCACTTTCATCTTAATAACCAAACTCCCTGTCCATGTCCTGCGGATTTTCTACCCGCCTGTGTCAGTGTTCGTCCACGTGGGACTGTTCATAGTATATATCGTGTCGGCCAGTTATCAAGCTGGTTCCGACAAGTCGGATCCTAAGCACCTGCAATCCGGCCCACCGTGGTATCTTACGAAGTCATGCAGTGTTGCTTCGAATAAAGATAACATTGGATATTGCCAACAAGCCAAGGCGCTCTTTGGTTTTACTATCATTATCATGTGGGTTGGCACCTACTATTATAATGATTCTTTTGTCCCTTGACCCCTGGTAACTGACATTATATTCATAGTGTTCTTTATTTTGTCGAAATTATCGTGAGCGTGCACTCCTGCTTCTTGACCAAGGAGGAAAAGGCAGAGCGTGACGAACGCCGTGAAGAAAAGAGAACCATGAAGGAGTACGAAGATATGGTTCTCAGGACCCCCAGAACGTTTCCCATGATGAGCCCTGCGCTGCCTTCAGGGGGTGCTACGCAGATGATGCCTACTATGTCGTCACGAAGCCCTGAATTTAGTACATTCGGGACTGGATCGTCAGATCTTCCACTCCGGGACCATTTCAGCACACCAAACCCTCGCCCGCCAACACAGCAAGAGTCATCGGAAACCTTAGCGCCGGGGAACCAACCTCAAATGTACTTTCCGCCGCCTCCTAAGAAGGCGGCCAAGGCGTGAATGTTTTCAGAAGTTTGTAAAAATGTCCTTGAAAATCTAATACCCACGGTCATATGAGAACCACTTATGTTTCTATTTCATTTCCCGTTTAGCGATCGATTTGCATGAATCGGGTGTTTTTTCAAAGCCCTACTTGGGGCACTTGCAAGAGGAATTCATGAACAATCACGTATTATGTTTGGGCCTTTTCTTTTCATGTCGCTTTTCTAGCTGTCATTTGGTCATTATACCATTATCGCGACTAGAGCAATCGAACCGCCACGACTGGCTGACTATTCGTGCTTAGTCCCAATCTAATTGAATACAAGAAAAGATAGCAAATAGGAAGTGAGCCTTAGTTATCCATAAATCTCGTAAGTTCTAAAACTGGGATTATACATAACTCTCGCACAACGCAACTGCTGGAAAGAATTTGCTGTCATCACCAGACAATGCCAAAATATAAATTGCCTACGAAAAAGAAATAGCAGGACGGAGCACAATGCAGGGGTATCGCCGCAGGAACATGTTTCGTAATGCAGGAACGAGGAGTACAATGTTACAAGTGTTGCTGATTCCACGTAGTGGTAGTGGCTAGATTTGATCTTGCCGTTTCTTTTCCTTCTTGGCCCAGCGTACTGGATATGTTATTAGACTAAACACTTGCGATAAAGAGAAGGAGAGGGTGTGTGGACTGGTGACTTACATCCGCATGCATTACACAGAGTCTTGGGTCCCTCAGGCCCCTTTCTCCACTCGGGAGAGTCTGAGGTTCCGCAATCAGTACACATATATTCACCCTTCTGTCTTTTCTTTCGATCGCTGTCCTGGATGACGCGGGCCTGCTGGTCTAGCTTGGCAGATTCCATATCATAATGGATGAGGCGACCTTGGCGAACGCCAGTACTGAGCCCCTGGGAACGTTCACCATCACCGTAGTGTAGACCCGTCAGCATCTCGATTCCCTCAATATGAGACATGTCCTCCGTCTGGCCCAATCTATCCGCGGCAATATCCAGGTACGACCGGGAGTCGGGATCATCGTTTGTGAGGGTGTCGGATGACTCGTTCTCCTCACCAGACCCAGTGGTATCGCGGAACGATGATTGATTGGAATTGGATCGGCCTGAATGAGAATTGTGGCGGGAGGTAGAATCTCCCGTGGAGTCGCCGGCATATAACTGTTGACCTGATGCCAAATCCTCCTCTTCTTCCTGCCTTAGCTGTGCTATTCGCTGGTTGAGTCGCACGTTCTCGATTTTATGCTCCAGAAATGAGTCGATCAGCTGAGAGCTTCTCGTGGGATAAGGTCGGCACAGAAGAAAAACGCCAATACATTCTTGATTATGATTTTCGGGACTGTCGTTCGGTTCAGACGTTTTCATATGTGGGTGTCCATGTACCTCCAAAAGGCAAGATGTATTGCTATTGTTGTCTTTCTTGCGAAACCGGAAATGGCAATGCACTGGACGAGTCGTCGTGATACACTCATTCATCTCCTCGGTAAACACGGTCTTATCATCATTGTGTATAAAGCGCTCCAAAGCTTTCTGCTGTAGTTGGTTTGCGTCGTAGCCGGTGATGGATTTGCAAGATGGCGATGCATACAAGATCTTGCCGTCGGAGCTGAGAAGTAGTAGCATATCTTTCATCGTATTCAACACACGCTGGGGCCAACCCTGTTCATCCGCCGGGTCGGATGAGTTCTGCGCACCCACATTGCCGGCCGGCGGTGGTGGAAGTTTCTGAATCTCTTCTGTAAAAGAACCATGATCTTCGGCCTGCATTCTGTGCTGATGATTCTGCGTTACCCCACTCTCGTGCTCGGCAGCGGCCCAATCCATCGTTGGCACCAGGGAAACCAACGATGTTTTTGCAGAGAGGAAATATTCTCTTGGACATGAGGAATGGCCACCGTGGGATTGCAAGATACACGAGCCACTAAGGCTGCGATAGAGCTGTCAATTCCGGTGCTGTATAACAAGGCCGGAGGGCCCACTCGCCGCGCCAATGAGATATTGGCCACCGTTAACAGGACCGGAACTTCTCGTCCAATGCTGGCGCTCAGGGGGTCACAGGCACTGAGAAGGATTCAATTGGTACCAACCAACTGAAGTCCTTTGGCCATATGTGTGAGAGCCATCATTTCCTATCCTGGGGGAGAGGGTACAGTACCTGAGCACATGATGGGGTGGCTTATCATCTGTCAAAAGTACTTCCCAAATTCAATTTAATCCCCGACTTTAGACGGCCATCGCCGCCACGTGATCTCGCGCCGCTTCCCCGCGTCGGTTTCTTAGTGTCCGTGACGCGCAGCACCAAGTGCCGAACGCCAAAAGTGACCTGATTGTTCGAAGACGCTGGTCGTGCAATATCACCAAGGGCACTTTAGAAAGAACGAGGTCGTTTTGAAGGATAAAGGGGGGACCTCATACTTCTAGCCCAACGTCTATCTATCCACGTACGGTTGCGCGACACTCTCAAGATGTGAGTCGGGTGTTGTGGTCCTGTCTCCCGTCTGCCACTGACAAACTAGCAGGTGTAAGTGGTGCGGAGATCGACTGCGGGGCGATGAATCTAATATACTGACCCATACCAGCGAAGATAGATAAGCTTTCAATTCTAGGGTAAGTGTATTTCCCGAAGGATTCCCGTCACCGATCGCTGATTCATTGTTTGCGTTGCTTTAGGGTTCGCTCCTTCGACAACACCCGCAGCGAGACCATCCAGTTCCACACCCCTCTTACGTTAATCGTCGGTTACAATGGATCAGGAAAGACAGTACGGAATATTCAAATCAACTGAAAGCAGCAACACTTCCACTAATCGGGCCTTAGACGATTATTGAATGTCTCAAATACGCCACCACCGGTGACCTCCCGCCAAACAGCAAGGGCGGCGCCTTCATCCATGACCCGAAACTATGTGGGGAGAAAGAAGTCTTGGCTCAAGTGAAGCTGTCCTTCAAGGGCACGTCGGGTGCTAAGATGGTATCTACGCGGAGTCTACAACTCACCGTGAAGAAAACCACCCGGCAGCAGAAGACACTAGAAGGCCAACTGCTGATGATCAAAGATGGTGAAAGGACGGCTATCTCTTCGAGAGTTGCGGAGCTTGATCAGATCATGCCCCAGTATCTTGGGGTCTCCAAAGCTATCTTAGATTCTGTGATCTTCTGCCACCAAGACGAGAGCTTGTGGCCTATGAGTGAACCTTCGGTCCTGAAGAAGAAGTTCGACGAGATATTTGAGGCCATGAAATACACAAAGGCTATTGACAATATCAAAGCTCTGAGGAAGAAGCAGAACGAGGACCTTGCGAAGTACAAGATCATGGAACAACACGCCAAGGAGGACAAGGAAAAAGCAGACCGAGCAGAAAAGCGATCAATTAAGCTACAAGAAGAGATCGAAGCCTTACGTCTAGAGACAAGTCAGCTTTCTCAGGAGATGCGACGTGTCGCTGAGCTAGCCGATAAAGCCTGGCGAGAGTCAGAAAGTTACGCCCAAGTCCTTGGTACGCTAGAAGGAAAGCGTATTGAGGCCAAAAGTATTCAATCAACGATTGACAATTTGAAAAGACACCTCGTCGAGCTTGATGATTCGGACGAATGGTTGCAGTCAAATTTGGAACAGTTCGAGTCCAAGCAGCTTCAGTATGAACAGCAAGAAGAGGCTCAAAAGGAAAACTACATGGAGATCAAAGAGCAAATAGAGCGAACGCGGCAAAAGCTAGGTATCAAGCAGGCAGAATACGGCAAGTTTGAGAATGACAAGGCCAATTTTGAGCGGCAAGTTGAACGGAGACAAAGGATGACCAAAGAAATCGCGCGTACCAATAATATTCGGGGGTTTGACAACATCCAGGACCAGGGTGATGTCGATGAATTCATGAGAAAGGTCAGAAAGTTATTGAAAGACCAGAATCAGGCCCTAGACCGGGTCAAGCGGGAAGCACAAGGTGAGCTGCGCGAAGTGCAAACGGCTCTGAACGATATTGCACAGCAGAAGTCGGCCTTGCAGGAAACCAAGAACGCTGCTAGGCGACAGATAGGTGCAAATGACAAAGAGTCGACCACCTATCAAGGAAAGCTTGATGAAATAAACGTGGATGAAGGTGTCCAAGCGGCGCTTGAGGCCAACATCGAAGACATTCAGTCGCACCTGCATCAAGCTAAGGAGCGAGCAAAATCTGCTTCGTGGGACAAAGAGATCCATGACATCAATTCGGAGATCCGAGGCCTTGAAGATGAGAGTTCGCGCTTGAACTCGGAACTCATCGATGCGACTAAACGCGCCGGTGACTTGGCACGATTGGATCATTTAAAGAAGGAATTGAAGGAGCGGGACCGCAGCCTGGAAACTATGAAGGGCGCTCACGGCGAACGTCTATCGAAATTCGTCAATCAAGACTGGAAACCTGATACCCTGGAGCAGGAATTCCAGCATGTGCTGGAAGAAGAATCCAAGCAGGTGTCCCGCGCTGAAAATGAACGAGATGGCGTCAGTAGGGAACTAGAGCAAGTGGAATTCAGACTCAAGAATGCCAAGAAGGCTTTAGGGCAACGACAGAAGTCTCTAAAAGAATGCATCGAGGAGATTCGTGAAGCTATCAATGACGAACCCGAGGAATTTCCCGAAGTACTCAAGCAACGACAAGCACAGCTTGATATTGCAAGAAAAGATGCTGAGCAGTATGCTGGGATCGGCGAGTATATGGCAACTTGTCTAGAAACTGTAAAACAGTCGAAGGTGTGTAGGCTATGCCATCGAGGCTTCAAGAGTGACGCCGAGCTGCAGACCTTCAGAAACAAATTGGAAAATTTGGTTAAGAAGGCCAAAAGAGATGCCGACGACGAGGATGTGAAGAACTTAGAAGAGGATCTTGAGGCTGCACGGGCAGCCAGCACTTCTTATGATACTTGGTCTCGTCTTCAGCATACGGAAATCCCAGAGTTGGAAAAGGAAGAGGAACAATACGCATTGCAGCGTGATGAGCTCCTCAATCAATTGGAGGACCGCGACAAGATTGTCAGTGAAAAAATTGAGAAGAAAAGAGATATCGAAGCTCTCTCCAAAACGGTCAACACGATCGTCCGATATGATGCGGAAATTAAATCTATTCTTTCCCAGATACAAGATCTTTCCTCTAAACAACAGGATACTACCTCTGCACGCACGCTCGAGGATATTCAAGATGAGATAGCTGCAATTGGTGAAACGTCCAGGGCTTTGAAAAAGAATCTGTCGAAAATCACACATGATAAAGAGCAAACACAGTCAGAGATCAACATTCTGGAACTAAAATTAAGAGACGTGAAGAGCAATCTCGACAACGCGAAGTTCCAATTGGAAAGGAAGTCCGACCTCCTCGCTCGTATTGAAGAGTACAAAAATCTCAACAGCCAACAACGAGAAGCAATCGCAAAAGCCGATAGGGATATTGAGGATTTGACTCCTGAGCTTCTCAAGGTCCAGGCTAAGTACGATGATATTACCCAGCGGGCCGAGGCACGCGAAAGAGAAATGCAACAAACAATTTCTCAGATGTCGGAGAGTGTACATCAGCTGGAGCTGGCAAACGAAGAGATTGATGCATATAATGAACGGGGAGGTCCGACTCAACTGGAACGCAGTAAACGCGAACTCGAGAATATCGAAAAGCAGATTGGCCAGCTCGAAGCCGAACAGGCGGATATCACGAAAGAGATCAACAAGATATCTTCCCAGCTGAAGGATAGCGAGAATACCAAGCGTCAATATGCGGATAATCTCACATATCGTCAAGCAACTAGGGCGCTTGACGAGGTCACACAAGAGATCGAACAGTTAGCAGCCCAGAACGCAGAGGTTGATCGGAGCCGGTTCAAGGACGAGTCAGAACGTCGAACCCGCGAACACAACGCACTGGCTGCAAAGCAAGCCAGCAGGATGGGTGAGATGAAATCTAAAGACGACCAACTGATGCAGCTTCTAGCAGACTGGAACACGGACTATAAAGACGCAGCGCCCAAATACAAGGAAGCACACATCAAGGTGGAAACCACTAAAGCTGCGGTGGATGACCTGGCTCGCTACGGAGGAGCCTTGGATAAAGCCATTATGAAATACCATGGCTTAAAGATGGAGGAGATCAATGCCATTATCGGAGAACTATGGCAAAAGACTTACCGAGGCACTGACGTTGATACTATCCTTATCCGCTCCGATAATGAAAATGCCAAAGGTAACCGGTCATATAACTACCGAGTGTGTATGGTCAAGCAGGGTGCAGAAATGGATATGCGTGGACGCTGCAGTGCAGGACAAAAGGTACTCGCAAGTATCATCATCCGCTTGGCTCTCGCAGAGTGCTTTGGTGTCAACTGCGGTCTGATCGCGCTTGACGAACCGACGACAAATCTTGACCGGGATAATATCCGGTCCTTGGCTGAGTCGCTACATGATATCATTCGCACTCGTCAGGCGCAGAGTAATTTCCAGCTTATTGTTATCACTCATGATGAGGAGTTCCTGCGCTACATGCAGTGCGGAGACTTTAGCGATTACTACTACCGGGTGTCGCGGAATGAGAAGCAGAAGTCGATCATCGAGAGACAGTCAATCGCAGAGGTAAGGCAGAGTTCCCAGTCGCTTTCTACTAGACTCTCATGCTAATGGATCGCAGGTGATGTGACGAGATCTTCGTTGGCAGAGTCATGATGAGTGGGAAACGTGGGAAACTAAGGCGTCAAGTGAACGTTGCTGTGACTACTAATCTTTCTATGTATATTATTCTGGGTATGGAATATGTTTTCACCAATGAATCAATTGTGAGAGTGAGAGAGAGAGGGAAGATACCTTAATGCGCCATGTGACTTTTGCCCTAAATCTGAGCCCTAACTTCCCAATGGAGGTCGGGATCGGAGACGGTGAAACATACCCGATTCAGCCGAATATCAAAGAAAAACAGAAACGGCAAGAAAGGGTCCAATCACAGGCCCGGACCAGAAAATCAACTTGACTCATGCTTTAAGAATTCCTACAGGTATTTCATTCCAAACTGTCTTGGATGAAGTCCACTCTCTCATCCGGCCTTCTGCGCTCAGCACGACGAGCAATTGCCGACCCGGTAGTTGTCACCCTCCGTCGTCGGGCCCTGACAGCGACAGCGGCCATCCGCCCAACAGCCCTCAAGAATATTATTAGTACTAGTAGTATTCACGACCCCACCATCCCCCACTACCGCCACTCTTCCTCGTCTTCCTCCTCCTCAAACCTCAGTTCGTCGCGCCCGGTAGACACGATGGGTAAGGAAAAGAACAACTTCAACCTCAAGACCCCTAAGGGTACCAAGGACTGGTCTGGGTCCGATGCCCTCCTCCGCGATCGCATCTTCACCACCATTGCCGATGTCTTCAAGCGTCACGGCGGTACCGCGCTGGACACCCCCGTCTTCGAGCTGCGCGAGATTCTCGCCGGAAAATATGGCGAGGACTCTAAGCTCATCTACGACCTGCAGGACCAGGGTGGTGAGATCTGCTCCCTCCGCTACGATTTGACCGTTCCCTTTGCCCGTTGGCTCGCCATGAACCCCGACGTGCGCAGCATGAAGCGCTATCATATTGCCAAGGTGTATCGACGGGATCAGCCCGCCGTCAGCAAGGGTCGCATGAGGGAATTTTATCAGTGTGACTTCGATGTTGCTGGTACCTTTGATCCTATGGTTCCCGATGCCGAGGTCCTGAAGATCGTCACCGAAGTGTTCGAGGAGCTTGGATGGCAGGGTCGTTATAGCATCAAGATCAACCACCGGAAGATCTTGGATGGTGTCTTCGAGGTGTGTGGTGTGCCGGCAGAGAAGATCCGCCCGATTTCTAGCGCAGTGGACAAGCTGGATAAGATGCCTTGGGCCGATGTCCGGAAGGAGATGGTTGAAGAGAAGGGTCTTGATGGCGCCGTTGCGGACAAGATTGAAACATACGTTGTCAAGAAGGGTACACGGGACCTTCTCGAGACTCTGTTGAAGGATGAGTCTCTTCTGGCGAATGCCTCCGCTAAGGCTGGTCTGGAGGACATGGGTCTCCTTATGGACTACTTGGAGGCTTTCGGAGTCCTCGACCGTATCTCTTTCGACATGAGTCTTGCTCGTGGATTAGACTATGTTGGTTTCTTTCCTATATCTATCATGGGTCGCATGTTTACTAATTGGTCAACAGTACACCGGTGTCATCTACGAAGTTGTCACCGAAGGCTCCGCACCAGCCGTTTCATCCTCTGCTCCCGAGGCGGAGAAACTGCAGAAGTCAGCCAAGAAGAGCAAGTCTAAGGGTGGCAACGCCGACGACGACAGATCAGACGACCCCACTCTGGGAGTGGGAAGTGTGGCCGCTGGTGGCCGCTACGACAACTTGGTGGGCATGTTCTTGCCCAAGGCTCAGATCCCCTGTGTTGGTGTCTCATTCGGTGTCGACCGTATCTTCTCCATCACCAAGGCCCGCCTTGAGCGTGAAAATAATGCCGAGGCTCTGCGCAGCAGCGAAGTCGACGCTTTCGTTATGGCTTTCGGCGGCAAGGGCTTCAACGGCATGCTGACGGAGCGCATGAGCGTCTGCCAGGCTTTGTGGAACGCCGGCGTCAAGGTAAGCCTAGCTTTTGATTGCGCTTGTGGAATGTTGCAAAACAGAATGTCGACTAACCCTTGAGGCAGGCCGAGTTCTCCTACAAGGTTAAGCCCAAGCTCCCACAACAGTTCAAGGCCGCCGAGCAAGGTGGTGTCCCCTTCGCCGTCATTCTGGGTGAGGACGAACTCGCCAACGGCAAAGTCCGCATCAAGGAGATGGGTCTCGAAGAAGGCCACCCCGAGAAGGAAGGTGTGCTGGTGGATCTCGCTAATCTCCCCGCCGAGGTAAAAACCCGTGTGGCTAGGAAGCAGGATCAAGCCTCCGCTGTAACACAACAGCTCGAGGGCCTCAACGTCAATGCCCCGACAAACTAGATTTACCAAACAAGGCGAAAAAGAAATGTCAATACCCGATTTAGATTTCACGTTTACTTCTTGTTTGGAACACGTAATATGCAAAGTAAATTGCTTTGAGAAGTCCTTGAGTGGCTTTCATTCATAATAATGTACATATTGCAGATTTGACCTTGTATATTGGATGTAATACAAGGTCTCATTTGAGATATAGGTAATACACGGGCGAAGGAGAGAAACAACTTGAAAGGGAGTAGTAAAAATGCAGTGAGGGCCTATTATGGCCTCAAACCACTCAATCAACCCTCAGCATTCTTCATCAAGAATCCCTTAACAAAAGGTAACCGATCAATGATCTCGAAACCTAGACTGCGACCCCATGCAACCGGGCCCTGGCCCGGAACATTGTAAAGCTTATGCACCATATCACAGACACCGCCGATCTTAGCATTAACAGCCCACCGTTCGGCGGTGTAACTCTCCAGAGAAAGAATATCACCGATATCCATTCCGTGGTCGACTGCGTATTCGATCGTCTTGGAGAGGGACGCCACATCGCCCATTCCAAGGTTGAGACCTTGTCCAGCAAGCGGATGGATCACATGGGCGGCATCGCCGACAAGAGCCACGCGTGGTGAGATATAGGTTGATGCATGCCGGAAGCGCAGAGGGAAAGAGGCCACACTGCCCTCCTGTACGCCGTTTACCATGGGCGGGACGTGAGAGGCTTGCGGGGTATGTTGCAGACGCCAAGTCAGTTCGCTCTCGTGTGAATCCTCATAGTCCGATGCAGAGGTGGCTGGGCGCTCCATGCGCATCATGTACTTGAGGTCCGTCATCGGGAGGCGGAATGCGGCGTTGACCATGGCGATGAACGCTTTCGGGGAAAGAGATTTGAGATAGGCGGCGTTTTCTACCGTGGTGGACCACACTAGTGTTGCGTGGTTGTTGGGTAGTGGTAGCAAAGCAACTGGGCCTCCGAGGGAAGGCAGGAAGCGCTGGTAGGCGGTTCTTGTGCCGATAGGGAATGAGACCTGATCCGGGTCGGCGAGGGAAAGAGTCGCGACGACGCCGTGACGATTGTAGTCCCAGCCCTCGGTTGCAATGTCGGCGAACCGACGGACGGGGCTGTTGATACCGTCCGCACCGACTAGTAGTCTTGCGGCGATCCGAGTTGGGGGTTGTGACTGTGCTGCGCCGGTTGGAGCGAGGGAGAGAACTGGCCAGGCTGATAGGTCCGGGCCGTCCGGGTGGTCCGTACCGTTTTCGATAGATGAGACGGTTGTGTTCGAGAAGATTGAGATATTCTCGTCTCCAGATGCCGCGATGCGCGACAGAAGTCCGCGGACGAGATTGGCGTTTTCCGTCATTGTCGCGACTGTGGGGAGGTTTTCGAACGGGGAAGTATCCGCGGACCAGTCGAAAGTTATGCGCGAATCTGTTTCACCGTCCCATACTTGCATCTCCTGGTATTCTTGAGCTCGGTCGACATCAAGATGTTCCCAGGCCCCGATCTTGCGCAGGAATGACACGGATGAGGGTGTTAGGCTGCTGACTCTGTTCGAGAATTGCTGTGAATCGAGGTTCCAGGCGCGAGCTTTTTGTAAGTCCTGGGTCTCGACGAGGGCCACCCTGAGCTTTGATGTTAAGGGAGAAGCACCTATAGAAAAACATTAGTCTTGCGCACGCGGAATTGAGTGAGTTGAAAAGATTTCCAGTAGAAACTGCCTTACGCAAAGCTGCTAGTAACCCTAGACCTGCTGGACCACCTCCGACACACACCACATCGTAGACATCGGGGGATTGATCGGGCTTGGACCCAAACCTTCTACGGCCCACAAAGCGACCAGACCGGCAGGAAGGGCAAACATAAGGTCGGAGTGCCGACCGAGTAATTGGCCGCATTATGGGCTTGCGTCTGGATTCAGGGAACAATGAAGTTGGATCATCGGAGAAGGCAGTCGGCGACATGGGGTGATGATGTGCAAACAACACAAACAGAAACCTTTCTACTGATGGTGATGGCACATCTCTAATGAGCAGGGATAGCGCCCAACTGTGTGAAAGGCTATTATCTATGTCTAACTAATGTTTACAGTGTACTAATATCCTATAAGGCATAAATCTACAGCTAATGGTACATACGAGTTCATCTGGTGGGTGAGCTCCTGATATAGTGGGATGCAGCGAACATATCTAGGGTTCAGCGGTTTCTGGCGTACCGCCTGCCTGAAATAGATATTCTGCCTACCCTGGCTAGGCGGTATATTCACGAATCTTATGGCACACCAATTCAGTCGTCGTATTTAAATTCTATGAAGAGAGTATATGGAGACATCAATCATCAATGTTGGCTTGATAACCAGTATAATGAGACACTATACCAGATATCGCTATATCTGGATAAATCATCTCAGGCCTCATCTCCTGAAACAACTTATATGGAACCAATAGATGATGCGCCTGCCGAGTCCGACAATGCAGTATTCCTCGCAATCTCTGACAGAATGCATAGGCTTTTAGCGTCGCTTTATAGATCCACTAGTGTCAAGGCTGAGTGTATATTTCCTATGGCGCCGAAAATACTGAACCGGTCCTATTCAATCTTATCCTTGACACCTCAGTGTTATTGGCTATGTTACAGATCTAGCTGTTATTAGAATTGGACTATGACACTTATGTGGATAGCCCTGTATACTACAAAAAGTATCTAGAGCATGGTTGAAGGTCCTTAATTGCTTAACTCTCAACGACGAACGTCCGCTAAAGTTTTCGTCTGTGACGTTGATTATCATGAAAATTCATCATTCCATAGTATCTAAAAGACAGAGTTGGCATGATTGGTCCTCGGGAGTATCATATCTACACCCTATATCATCTTATTTTCAGCCTAATCCCCGTTGTCAATCATACCCCTCAATGGCACTCAACGAAGATCAGCTTCCTTCCCTGAAGATATAATCTCCCCCGCATCGACGAGGTCCAATATACATTGACAGACAACGGCAACACTGGACGATCGTGACCGTCAGCAACCTGGATATCATTCCCGGAGCGACGCCCTGTTTCTCACTCCATGAGACCATTGCCGAGAGATGCTTCGGGGAATAAGCCCAGGCCAAAGGCGAATATATTAAAATGAGCGATAAAGGAACACTGCATGCCGCAAGGGCCTGGCCGATGTGTCAAAATGGAGTATGTTACATCTATACTTCTTGGCAAATTCCCAATCAAACACGTCCGTCCGGAAGCATGGCTGACCTTTTCCGGCATGTTAGGACTCTGATATACATGTACTCTGGACAGTATCTTTCTAGCCCGAGTTACCTCAAGAGATACACCACTACTGCACATCACACTTGTCGAAGTGAGCTTACGTTGGATCGCTACCACGGATATCAATTGGGTTGAGCTGACTGCATCTCGCCCCCTCGAGGATATTGAGGTAAAAGTTGGCACGAGACTGCGTGGAGTTCGTGATAGGAGCTCCCATTCAGTGAATAAGGACATTGTGCGTCTTACTGACACTTGAATCCTTGCTCACCTGCACTGACAAATACAAGAAAAAAAAAAAAGAAAAAAAAAAAAGAAAAAAAAAAAAGGTCTTTAGTTGGCTATTCTTCTGGGGATCTGTGGAAGCAGCCTATAACCCCCCGGCATGTATGATACATTACATTCTATAGCTCAAGAACGCAGTCTGCAGAAAGCTGAAACAAACCCCCTTTGTCCAACCATGTGCGACTCGACCCCTCAGTTGAAGAATGTGCCACCGGGTTAAGAATAGTACCTATATCCTATACAAGTACCGCATAAGTTAGTTATCGTAGTCCTCTGAGTAAGATAGAGAGGAATTGTCACTGGAAACAAGGGATGCAAATTGGTCTAGTGGATGCTGCTATATATAGATTTATCCACCACCCCAAAACCTCTCCAGTGTCCCTCGGATTATATGATACTCTAGAAGTAGGATCAAAAAGCATAGAACTGGTCAGAATTTCATTGAAAATCATGGCGTATATTCTGCAAAACCGACACCCTGCTAATCTTCCGATACACGCATCCCAAATATCAAACATGAAAGGAAAAAATGAAACAATAAAAGAAATAAAATAAGATAAAATAAAAAAGAACCCCATTCTTCAAAATTCATTCTCTTTTGCCACGTAATCGCCATTCTCCTCAGGTGATTGATGCCTATTTCCATCTATACACAGCCTCAATTCCTACTGGACTCCCCAAACATGCATGACCCTCACTGAACTGCTTTTTCACCACCACCAATTCGATTAACCAACAAACCAACAAACCTCACCTTCAAAAGCGGAGATCTGACAACGACAACCTACGTAAACCTCAATAAACTTCAGAAAAAAGACAAGAATCAAGAAAAGAAAAACGAAGGGAAGGGCAAAAAACAAAACAAACCAAAACAAAAAAAAAAAAAAAAAAAATGACATCCACTACTTCCACAACGACAACCAAAACCACAACCTCACCAGCCAAAAAGAACAAGAATATCCCAGCAGAATCATCCCTGGACCTCAGTGCCAACTTCGCCAACAACCGCAAAGGAGCCGTGGGCTATGACCACGAGGTTTACCTCCAATTAACGGCGGGGAGGAACGCGGAGAAGACGCCGAATCAGATGTATCGGGAGGTAAGGTTGATTGCTCATTTTCTTTTTTATGCTTTTACCTTTTATTCTTCTTTAAAGGACGGGATTTTTTTTTTATCATCTACGATATGACGTGTCCCCTCATGGATTGAATTTGTGTTTTCTTGAATAGGAACGTGTTCGCCAGAGGACTACAAGGGCTTTGGATCCGGCGATTTTGGATCCACAGGGGGAGCCTGGGCCGGTGGATTTCGAGTGTGCGGAGCACGAGGGAGTTAAGGAACGGTTGAGGTAATTGGATTTGGCCTTCTGCATTGCATTACTGTTGGTTCTTCTTCTAAGGATGTTTGTTGGTGCGATTGGTTTATGGTATCTGCAAAGAAGATAAAGCTATAATGTCGGGTTGTAAGCTACAATAACGTAAACTGTCATGGAGCAGTGGCCGGATGGTCGTGAAAAGGAGAACAGGGTAGAGATAATAAAGCGAAGCGGACAAGAGGAGGGGCGGCGCAAATAAGAAGAAACATAAATCACTCGTTCATGTCACGTCAAAGATATCATCCACGCACTCATCGTGTTGTAATACTTTCCTGAGGGGCGGATCCTTCGTGATTCTCATCTAAATCCCCTTCCATCTCCGCGACGAACCTTTCCCATGTATTCAGCACTCCTTGGTAGAAGTCAATATGTTTCTCGGCCAGCGCTCCGAGAGTGTCCCGGAATTCAACCGCCTTAATTCGCTCGAAATCCGCAACTTCACGGACTACCTCTTCATCGAACATCTCTGACGTGGTCTTAGCAGATTCTACCTCGCGAGTCAGTTCGTCGATGCGCAGCTCTAATTTCCGGACCCGCTCCCGGCGTGACTGCTCATGGTCGACACCGCGCATATCTTCCATCTTGGAGCGGATGAAGGATGCAGGCGATGAGGTCAGGGGATTGGAGGCATAGTAGGATGATGGGTTAGTGGCGAGCGAGTCGCGCTCGCTCACGGCTTTGTTGCGGTAGTCCACTAAGGCTTCAAAGTCGAGTTGCTTCTGCTCACGGGTCTTCAGAAGCGCCTTAAGGGACACGATGTAGGCCTCCATATCCCGAAGAGAGCCAAGGTAGTTCTGATCCGTGTGATCTTTGAGACCTTTAAGCCCGCGTCCCGTCTCCTCCACCGACGCCGCGAATACTTGTAACGGAACTTCGACATTGGGCTCCAGGGATACCAGCTTGCGGAATTGTGTCGCGAGCTCATTATAGTCGGTCTCTAAATCGGACTCGCGCCGAGCAACCCTGGCGACGATTTTCTCTACGTGATTGAGGTCTTCATCCAGTTTATCTGCCTTCTCCCGAACTTCAATGAACCGGCGATCAGGCTTGTGGACTTTTGTAAACGCATTTACGAATGTATCGGTAAAGTTGTCAAAAATCCCGGGGGCGCCGCTGTTGTCCGACGGATTGGTGGTTGTGCGAGAGGTGTGAAGCCGCATATGCGCATTCCAGTCGGGAGATTCTAGGAAGATAGCAAGCAAAGGAGCCCGGCGAAGCACCGGATGTAATGCCAAGCGCTTTAGGAATCGATGTAGTGACCAAGCACGTCGTGTAGTGAATTCGGGCCCGAACCGATCCCCCCGTACGTATTCCATTTTATGCTTGTCTGGTAGAGGTGGGACCGCGCAGGCAGGATACTCACGATAGAGCGTCTTGTATAGGAAGAAGAAATCCGTAAATCGTCTGCGCACTGCAAATTCTGACCTCTGGAAGGACTTGAAATCGGTCTGCGAGGACGCTCCGGTCAGTAACAGTGGACTGCAGCTGGGGATGGATCTCCGGTCTGCCATGAACAAGCCGGAGGTAACTCCCGGGAAACGGGGCAACTCACTTGTGTCGTAACCAAATAAGAGATATATGCGTCTTTAGTACCATCATTCTCTTTCAGGGGCGAATCCACCCGGCATTCCAACACCCCGTCTCCAATACCTGCTAGATCGACCGCATCTGCCAGTGGCCCGGCTTGTGGGTTTTCGTGAGCCGAGCTCATCCTCCGCTTGCCATTGGCATCGTGATTAATCGCAGGCGACTCTTCTGCATCAGTGCCCGAAGTGGTAGGACGAGAGATATCGCTCTCTGGTTCGTGTCTCCATGAGACATTGTCAAAGTCGTCGTGCTGATCCATCGAGGGGTTGCCGTTAGGGAAACGGCAGCTTAACGCAGTTAATTGTACAAATCAAAAGAAACCTGCACACAATTTATATCACCGGAGAGACAAGATATAGCGGACCTCGGGATATGAGGAGCTATGGTTGCTGGTGGTAGGTCGATAAATGGGAGGTTGAGAAGTTGCGGAGGCAGCAGTGGAGCAGTCAATTGGCGGCAGTTGGAGAAGCGGACGCACAGCGTCATCGGCCCAAGCGCCAAGACTGGCTTATCCAGCAACTTTATCAACCCCCATTCACTTATTATTAGCGTGCTTTGCAACAGTTACGATGCCCTCATGCATGTCCTTTATGGGTCTATTTTTGTCAAACCAAGTCAAAATTATATACAGCAGCCTTCGTTCAACATCAGTAATTCACAAGATCCACGTAACACATCTCATCCGATATAGCCGAAATGCGCCGCGAGAGTACCATTATAGGATAGAAGCAAATGCAAATCTAGTCCATACTATGACCGAGCATGATCACCACTTGTGCTCCGTCGCCGTTCGCGATCTTCGCTCAGGGCATGATCCCTATAAGGTTCACCCTCATCATCGCTAAACAAAGGTTCTTCGTCGCTTTCCCCAGCGAAAGCATTGTAAAGCTCGCCTCCCCGGCGTTGTGTACGACCCGAACGCCCGTTCATAGCCTGGGTTTCATCTTCATCTTCTATCATTTCGAAATCGTAGTCATCACGCGGATCATTACGCAGACGCTTTCGTCGCTGTACGTGGAAGTAGACCCCAAGTCCAATACAGAACACAATGATCGAACTGATCGCAGCGTAAATCCAAGCCTGGGTCCGTTTAGACGCACCGAACGTGGGGAAGAAGGACGGCAAAAAGCTATCCGCAGAAGAAGTAGTAGACGGGGACCCCGTGGAAATGGGTTTCGTCGGGGTGGGAAGTTCAGATGTCTCTTGGGCAGGAGCCTCCGAAGGTGTCGTTGGTTGCATAGATGGCTTTGCGTTCACAGGACGATCGACGGGATCAGTTGGGACAGGCAGATCTTCAGTCTTAGTTGGGATAGGGTCAACGCTAGTGGTAGCAACAATGGCATCCTCAATCGAATGGTCATCGTCATGCTCATCGGGCATAGGATGAAGGGGCTGGCTGGAGCCGTCGATGGAAACTCCCCAGAGGTTCAGCCGCCAGTCGATGAATTCGCCAACATTGTCATTGACATTGGTATCCTTAACAATGACCGTCCACTTTCCAACACCGGACTCACCCCTAAATGGCAATGTCAGAGGGCCGAGTACGAGAACTAGAGCACGGGGGCAAATACATACCAGTGAGCCACAGTCATAAAAGTCCAATCTTCATAGCCAGCCTTGGCATTGTCTGACCGTCGTGCTGTACTCAGATGACTGACGATACCCTCGGGGCTGCGCAACTCCACGCTGATATCGCCTCGACGAGTGTGATTTACATTCATGGTCACAGTGACATGTTCTAACTTCTCGACGTTGGCCTGGTACATCATATCCTTGGTAATTTCGTATGAGCTGGCAAGACCCTGGTCACCTTGTGGGATTTCATGCTTTACTCGCAGCCACGGTGAGTGGAACCACGCCTGTGGTTTCACCAGCTCCCACGTCTTGGCCAGCTGGACCAGTGAATATGCATCTACTTTCCCAAAACCCCAGTCATGGCTAAACTTCTTCCCCATTTTGGTAGTCTGCCAACTCCCGTCGTCTTCGTGGACCGGAACTGCGGTCTCTATCATCAGGTACTGGGCGTCTCGCCAAGTTAATTCCGGTCGGGCACTAAGAGCGAGGGCTATAGTACCCGCAGCGAGCGGGCCTGCGGCAGAAGTTCCACCGTGAAGTGAATAGCATTTATCAGTTCCAACGTCGGTGGTATGAATCGCGTCACTCGAGCCACTGCTATAAGCGACGACCAATTGGGCAGAGCATGATTCCGAGTAGCTGGGATGTTTGCCCTCTCGATCAATAGCACCGACGGTGATGCTGTAAATGCTGTTTGTGTAACCATCGAAATTGCAGTTGTCATCGTAACCTGCACCATTTCCAGCTGCAAAAACAAAAATAGAACCTTTGCCTCCTCGGCCATTTTGGATACCGTTAACCATAGCTCGTTTGATAAGAATCCCTGGCGCCTCCATTGTGGCGCCATCATCCGGAGGGCCCCAAGAGCATGAATAAATATCATTGCGCTGAAAGCCGTAGTTGATGGCAGCAGCCTCATCTGCGTCATCAATAGGTGCGGACAAGATCCGAATTCCCGCTACTTGGCTGTCGTAGGCAACGCCTACTCCACAGACATCGTTCCTAGCTGCTCCAATTTCCCCAGCGCATCTTGTGCCGTGTCTATCATCACTAAGTCGCGGTCTGGGCTCCGGTACATGGTCGTTGAAATCGTAGGAGCCCTCGGCAAAGTAGTTGGGTTTAAGGTCATTGCTGTACATGTCCAGCCCATCATCGACCACAGCCGTGATGACACCTTTTCCCGTGATACCTTCTAACCAGACGTCTGAAACATTGAGATCGTGACCAACTTGGACAGTGTTGTAAAGATGCCACTGTCCGCCGAATATGGGATCGGTAATCCCAAGTGAAGAGGCAATCCGTTTCTGAGCCTGAGCAGCTACGGGGTCCTCTTCTTTCACAGACCCCCTCGATGCCACGTCTGCGGGAGGAGCCCTCTTTACTAGTCGCTGCTTTGGGGCTAACTTTTGAGACCAGAGTATACCACCCAAGTCTCTTACCCTTTTATCCAATGCCATGTCACGTCCCTCTCCGGCACGACTTGACCTTTTCCTGATCCGTGCATGTTCGAGTAGCGCATCGAGGTCTGCACCGTTCTCCTTGGGTATAGAGAAGGTATGGTGTTGTGTGAGTTCCCCTACCTGACCCTCGTGGCGTGCTCCGAGGCGTTGGGCGACCTCGTTGGGGGAGGTGGAGTCGTCAAGATGAAGAGCAAAGAAATCGCGCGTCTCGTAGGACCGTCGAGGATGGGCTGATGCCGTCGCGGCACAAAAAAGGCCGAACGCTACCGTTGCACTTTCGGAAAGTCGCATTATGGGAGTAGTGTGAGGCGAGATGGGCCCCTATCCGTACTAGTAAGGCGAGATGAGGACAAATAAGATAGTTGCCATCAATAAGAACAGTACCAGACTCTTCAGTAGATGGATTGCGATTCAGTAAGCGACCTCAAGGAAAAGAATACTATAAAGACAAGAAATATGCAATATAAACGGCAAGGGGGGTATGAAATGGTT